CGGGGCTGAGCCGACCCTCGCGGCGGCGCAATCAGCAAGCCGAAACAAATCGGTGCTGTCCCCTCCAGCGACCCCGTAGAGGCTCGCAATGTAGATCCCAGCGGGACCGTGGTTGTTTCGTCGCCGCCTGCGGCGGTGCTGGGTGCAGAGCGGGAGGAAGGCCTCGTGCCATCGTTTCTTGGCCTTGAGGGTGGAGATACAGGTCGCAATGTCGTCGACGGTGGAGTCGACGATGGCGTCCTTAGAGAGGATGGCGACCCCACCCGAGGCGCCGGTGTTGCCCTCGACCGTGTGGTCCGTGCCACCGTGAGCAGCTTTGCGCTGGGCACGCGCCAGATCCAGGTCAGGTCCCAGACTGGCCTGGTATCCTCCGTGGTGTGGATTGGCGGCGTTGGTAGCGATGGCTTGCCTGGTAGGCTTGGCATGTCGGGTCTCCTGCAGTGCTATGACTGCGGCGTTGTGGTCGACACCTAGAGCGGTGATGGTTGGCCAGTTCGCTGGGAGACTCGTGATGTTGAGGCTGACGAGGTGGATGGAGCGACCTGGCCCATCTCCGTCGGTGGAGCTGGGGTTAGCACGCCCCGCACGGTGGAGGGCAGCCTGGCCGTCACCCAGGTAGAAGGCTTGGCCACAGTAGGAGCTCATGGCGTCGCGGCGGATTGGCTTGGACGGGGCTGAAGCCGCCGTCGGGCCAAAAGTATAGGCTAGGCATGGTCGACGCTGCGCCGGGGGGGGGTCATAAAAATCTGCAAAACTGCCTCGAAAAATCCTCCTCACTCCTGTACCGTGGGGGACAGAGGGAGGAGAGGTGAGACGGCAGCAGGGGGAGAGGGAGGCGACTCCTCGATCCGTCCTGCCGAGCTCAAGGACAAAACAAACCAGCGGCGGCAGCTCGGCGCGGCAGCGGCGCAGCGCGCGCGCAAATACTGCGCACGCGACACCGCTGGTCCGTCCTGCGGCGGCGCGCCCGCCCCGTCAGTGAGAGAGAGAGAGAGAGAGAGAGAGAGAGAGAGAGAGAGAGAGAGAGAGAGAGCACGCCGCGCGACGCGATTCGGGCGCCCGCACAGCCCCCGCAACGGCGGGGCAAATAAAGCTCGCCGACGTAGAAGACGACGATCGGCCCCGCCAGCCAGCACACCACCCGAGCTTCCGTGAGAGGCTCACCCGTGGTGCCAGCTGACGGGGAAGGGCCTACCTGGGACCACCCACGGCGCACCAGGGGCATGCAAGCAGCGGCCCGACCATAGGTGACCGTGGGGCCCAGGCGGCCAGCCCCTCTCATTTCGGCAGCGACGACACGACGTGGCGCAGCTTGTCGATCTCGAGGGACTCCACGGCGGGCAGCTGGGTCGGGCCGAACATGCCAGACGCAGCGATCTGCGCGAGCATGGCAGCCCGCTCGCCCACGCCGGAGGGGACGGCGGCGGCGGCTCCGCCGGCCGCTGCAGCCTCCGCCTCCGCATCCGCCGCGGCGGCTCCGCCAGCTGCACGAGCAGGCTCCGCCGCCATCACGCCAGCTCCAGCGCCGCCAGGCGCCTCCGCCAGCGTGTCGGTGCGGCGGAGGCGCCGCCTCCGAGGGGCAGGGCGCCGCGCGCCGTCCGCCCACTCGTCGTCGAGCACCTCCATCTCGTCGTCGTCGCGGGCCGCCGCAGGAGCGCCCTCCGCCGCGCGCACGGGCACGACTGCCCCGCCCGCAGCTCCAGGACCGCCACCCGCAGCCAAGCGCGCCGCCGCCAGGCGCTGGCGGCGACGCTGCCGCCGAGCCGCCTTTGCCGCACCAGCGGCCTCGGCGGCGCCAGCAGCGCGTCCACGTACTTCATCGTCAGCAGGGGGAGCAGCAGCAGGCTGGTCGGCGGCCGCCTCCGTCGGCCTCTCTCCGCGCGCGTACAGCGCGGCGGAGATGGCCGAGCGGGCGACGGCGGCGACCGTCCGCCGCGGCGTTCCTGCCAGGACCGCGGCCCTGACGGCGGCCTCGACGAGGTCGGCGCCGCCAGGGGCCTGGGAAGCCCCTCTAGGCCTCGGCATCCCGCGAGGCGCCACGCCGCAGGGGGGGGCGCGCGCGGGCGAGGCCGTGCGTCCGCTTGAGCCAAAATGGCTTGAGCCAAAATGGCTACGGGAAAGGAGGAGGAGTGGGAGGAGGAGGAGAAGGAGGAGGAGGAGGAGGAGGAGGAGGAGGAGGAGGAGGAGGAGGAGGAGGGGGAAGGGGGGGCGAAGGAAGGGCACTTTGGAGGGGGAATCGGCGCGTGTTCCTGGCCCCTCGCCGTCGGGCGAGGCCGTCGGGATCGGAGGCCGGCAGAAGCGCCTTCAGTCGGGCTGGGGGACACCAGCGGGGGGGACTGGCACAGGGGGGAAATTTCGACCTGGAATCGGCGACGCATCGCCGATAGCTCGGCGATAGGCCCCCGATAGGGAATCCGCCACTTCCTGGGCGGGAGCGGGCTATCGGGCCCATATCGGCGATGAATGGGCGATTGGGGGTCGATGCATCTCCCCCTATGCCTAGCCCTCCCTCTAGATAAAGAAAAAACGGCATAAACATAAAATGTTGGCGCTCAGCGCGGATTTCTGGGATCTGCGCTGGACCCCCCTCCCTGGCGCGCGGAGCGCGCCAGGGGCGGCGCCGGAGGGGCCCCAGCGCGGATCCAAGAAATCCGCGCGGAGCGCCAAAAGTTTATGTTTTCTTCGGCTATCCTTGCCCCTGAGGGGCAGAGCCACAAGTGGGGTTTCAAGGAGATCGCCCTGGACGGCCCCTGGAGGAGGGCAGTGGCGGTATCGAGCTGGGCTCGTCCCCTCTGCGCACCCTCGCTCCCCGGACCTCGCGAGGAGCGCCTCGGGGGAGGCCACCTGGGCCCCCCAGGAGCGCCAGGGTCACCCTGGGCCAGGGCCTCAGGCAGGTCCAGGATGAGCCAAAGCCCCGCAAAGGGGACCTGGATAAACCAGGATGTTGGCGCGCCCGGGAAAAGTGGGGCCGTCGGTCGAAGCATTCTAGCATTCTCCGTTCTTCGTTCTCTCCAGTGCACTTTTCCGAATCCTGGTCTGCAAGGTCCTCGTTTCCGGGGCCCTGAGTTAGACCTGAGAACGCGAAAACAACGATAATTCAATATACTGAATAGAAAGTTCAACAACAGGGCGCTCCTAACGCCAACCAAAAATAAGGACTTCATGAATATGAAGATGACACGCACGTCATTCAGGTGGGACTTGGGTCAACTCCGCGGAAACACCAACGACAATCATGAGCAGAGACGTGCACAATGGGAGACCGGTCGGCCCCGTCGCTCTGAAGCGGTGCTCTGGGCGGCTTCGAAAAGAGGCGCCGCGCGAACTTGACTATGCATCCGCCTTACTTTCCAACGGTTCGGATCCGAACAAATACGCGCTTTGCTAAGCGCGAGTTCAACAACCAATAGAAACGCCAAAAAGTAAGGCGGAAATTTCCGCCCTATTTTTTCAGCTTCTTAGAGATGGATTTCCGACGCTAAGTTTGAGAAAAAACCAAAGTAGGGCGGATCTGGAATCAGGGTGGCATCACCAATGCCGAGACACGTTCTGGAATCACCCATTCCACTCACCGCTCCTGTGACTTTTGGGCATGGCGTGTCCCGCGCGTTTTGGCCCTGAGTGCCCAGAGGGCGGATGCGCACGACGTCGCCCCCAGGGAACGGCAGGAGCATAGAGCGCAGGAGGAGGAGGAGCAGCAGTAGCAGCAGGAGGCACACTAAGAGAGTCGAAGACGAGGGAGGAGGAGAACGAGGAGGAGGAGAACGAGGAGGAGGAGGAGGAGGAGGATAAGAGCTACGAGGAGGAGTGGGGGCGGAGTAAGAGGCGGTTGCACTGGGGCCTCCGGTGGATATCCCTGTGGGACCACGAAACGTGCGAGGGGTGTAACGACATGGGTGTGCGTGACGCATGCGGGCGGTGGCACTGGGGCCTTCGGTGGAGCTCCCTACGGGGCCACGAAGCGTGTGAGGGGTGTGCCGACATGGGTGTGCGTGACGCATGCGGGCGGTGGCACTGGGGCCTTCGGTGGAGCTCCCTGTGGGGGCCACGCAACGAGGGAAGGGTGTGCCGAAATGGGTTTGCGTGACGCATGCGGGCGGTGGCACTGGGGCCTTCGGTGGAACTCCCTGTGGGGCCAAGAAACGTGTGAGCGGTGCGCCGAAATCGGTGTGCGTGACGCATGCGGGCGGTTGCACTGGGGCTTTCGGTGGAGCTCCCTGTGGGGCCACGAAAAGTGTGAGGGGTGTGCCAAAGTGAGGGGGTGACGGGAGGAGGGAGGAGGGAGGGGGGGAGGAGGGGGAGGGGGAGGAGTGACTGACGCGGGGTGCTCTCTCTTTTCAAAACGAGGACCCAACACTACATGATGGTCGGGAACAAATTCCGCATCCACCGCTCCCCCCAGCCTTAACATTGGCAAGTGTTGCGTTCGACATGCTGCGTTCAAGATAAGTCCGGCCTTGTTTCTCACGGAACGCTCGTTCAATATCAAGACTGGGGGCTGGAGAGGGGGTCCTGCGAAGTGGTTCCTAAACGTCTGTTGTACAGAATTTTCCTTCAACGGTCGGATGTTGGGGAGTTTTGAAAAAGCGGGGGCAGTACATTCCTCCCTCCCGCTCCTCGTTCCCTGCTGCCCTCCCCCTCGCCCTTTTCCCCCTCTTCCCTGCTCGCTCCTCCCCGATTCCCGCCTCCCTCACCCTTCCCGCTCCTCTTCCCGCTCGTCTTCCCCCTCCTCTTCCCCGTCTTTTCCCCCCCTTCCTCCCTCCTTGGTCACCCCCCCCGGGCTCCCGCTCCCTCACCGCTCCCCCCCCCCCTTCCGCATCCTTCCCCTGCGGCCTCCGCCTGTTCCTCCCTCTGCCCCCCACCCCACCCCCACCCTCACTCCCCATCCCTCCTCCTCCCTCCCCCCCTCCCTCCCCTCGCCCCCGCCCCTCTTCGAAGGAAGGGGGGGGGGGGCGGCGGCGGCGGCGGCGGCGGCGGCGGGGCGCGGGGAAGGCGCGCGCCCCGCAGTCCCACGCGAGGCCCACCACCCGGGAGAGCTCCTCCATGGGAGTGGGGGGGGGAGGGGGGGGTCTCCCCCGCCCGCAGGAGGGCGCCTAGGGAGGGAGGCAGGAGAGGAGGGGGAGGAGGAGGAGGAGGAGGAGGAGGAGGAGGAGGAGGAGGAGAGGAGGAGAGGAGGAGGAGGAGGAGGAGGAGGAAGAGGAGGAAAAGGAGGAGGAGATGGAGGAGGAGGAGGAAGAGGAGGAGGAGGAGGAGGAGGAGGAGGAGGAGGAGGAGCACGGAAGCTGGGGGACGCGATGTCCCGTCACGGCCACCGCCGCACCGCGCTCAGGGCGCGACGCGGGGGGACCTTCCCTTGGAGTAGGCTGAAGCCTGGGTTCAACCCCAGGCTCAGCCCACGCCGACCTTGTAGTCGATGGCCTTCTGGTGCGCCGTCGGACCGCGCTTGGCCCAGCAATCGACGAGAAATGCCACTCGCAATCGGCGCACTCCGCGATGCAGTTGACGACGGTGTCGCCAGCCACGAAGTACTCGCCCGCCTCGAGGCACAGCTGGCAGCCCCACTCCTCGTGCTGCTCCAGCGGCACGATCATGGCGGCCAGCCTGTGCCCCTCGAAGCACTGGGAGGATCGCGCGGCCGTGGCGACGGCCCCCCGCCGCATCCCGTAGAGCTGCTGCAGCGCAGCCCCGTCGTTGGACGCGTATACCTTCTCCCAGTGGTCTGCCGAGAGCCAGTCCAGCGAGTTGCTGGCCACCGTCTCCTCGATGATGCCCAGCTCCACGTCGACCCCGTCGGCCCTCGCATCCGCCAGGGCCACGTCGGCGATGGCTTCTGGTGCACCTCCTCTGCCTTCTTGGCCTCCACGGTGGCGGCGGCCAGCGAGTCCTCGTGGTCGGTGGGGCGGTCGGCGGCAGCAGCGAGCTCGTCGTGCAGCGCCTGATCCACCTCGGTGCCGTCGCACTGTGCGGTGGCGATCGCGAGCGCGGCCGTGTTCAGCCGCTCGGTGGCGCCGAGGAGACGGCCCTCCAGCTCGGCGACCCTGTCCTTGACATCCATCGGCTCCAGCACCGTCATCTCATCGGCCAGCGGCGCCTGCGGGACCGTCCCGGCCCCCAAGCGCTGGCCCTCGATGTTGTCGAAGTGCACCTTCCCGATGTACTCGGTGCCGTTGCGACGCACGGTCACGTTCACCACGTCGTTGCCGACGTCGTCGTTCAGCGTCGCCGTGTCCAGCTGCACCTCCTCCACCTGGCGATTGGCGAGCCTCCAGCCTGCTGCCAAGCCGTCGCCGAAGGCCTGGGCCTCCGCAGAAGTGTCGCTCTTGTGCCACGCGCCTGGCGCCAACAATTCAGCGGTGCCGGCGGCTCGTCGGCAAGCGGCACGTCCTGGTGGGCCATGCCCAGCTGCGGCCCAGCGGCTGCCCACTCGACGTCCTGGGCGGGTGCGCTGGCAAACCCGCCAAGGGGCACCCGCTGGGAGTGCCAAGAAGCGTTGCGCCTCCTCCGCCACGTCCTAAGGACGCGCTCGCCTGAGGCGAGCCGCTGAAGGGCGGGCCTGGACGCCCGCTCGCGGTCCTGCCAGCTGCCCGGGCCACCAGCGCGAACGGCATCTCGAAGTCGCAGGCGGGCGGCCCTGCGGGCGGCGGAGGCGCTGAGGGCGATGGCCTCGGAGGCGCGCAACTGGCTAGGCAGCCGTAGGCCATGGCCGCCCCCCGTCGCCACGACGTCCGCCCGGGGCACCATCGTCCGGAAATGGCAATGGCGGAAAGCGGGAAGACACGTCTTGAGCCAAAATGGCTACGGAGGAGCAGGAGGAGGGAGGAGGGAAGAGGGAGGAGGGAGGAGGGAGGAGGGGGGAGGGGGGAGGGAGGAGGAGGAGGGAGGAGGAGGAGGAGGAGGAGGAGGAGTAGCAGGAAAGGAGGAGGAGGAGAGGAGGAGGAAGAGGAGGAGGAGGAGGAGGAGGAGAGGAGGTGAAGGAGGAGGAGGAGGAGGAGGAGGAGGAGAGGAGGAGGAGGAGGAGGAGGGAGGAGTGAGGAGTGAGGAGGGGGAAGAGCAGGAGCAGGAGCAGGAGGAGGAGGAGGAGGAGAAGGAGGAGGAGAAGGAAGAGGAGGATGAGGATGAGAAGGAGGCGGAGAAGGAGGAGGAGGAGGTAGAGAAGGAGAAGGATAAGGAGAAGGATAAGGATGAGGAGAAGGAGAAGGAGAAGGAGGATGAGGAGGAGGAGGAGGGAGGAGGAGAATACGACACTAGCTGGAGCGGGCGCGCGGTGCACTTCCCGACACAGAGGGGCGAGGGCGGCAGTGAGCCATCCTCACGCGCCTGGAAAAGGTGGCCAACCACCCCACCAAGAGGATCACGGGCGGCAGGCCCCAGGCACAGCGCGGTGGGTTGAGGGCTTAGGGAAAGTGAGTGAGCCGCGGGGAGCACACCGATGAGGGTGCTCCACTCTCGCGGCTACTAAGCCCCAACTCCACTGTTAGACGATTGGCTCCTACGGAGCCTGACCCATAAAACTTCAGGGTCACGAAGGGGTCGAGGCGCTGGGACTCGCTTGGAGTCCTCACGCGCCTCGTTCGAGGGATGAAATCCCGAGAGAAAAAGACGGCAGAGGAGGAGGAGGAGGAGGAGGAGTAGGAGTAGGAGTAGGAGTAGGAGTAGGAGTAGGAGTAGGAGTAGGAGTAGGAGTAGGAGTAGTAGTAGTAGTAGTAGTAGTAGTAGTAGTAGTAGTAGTAGTAGTAGTAGTAGTAGTAGTAGTAGTTAGTAGTAGTAGTAGTAGTAGTAGTAGTAGTAGTAGTAGTAGTAGTAGTAGTAGTAGTAGTAGTAGTAGTAGTAGTAGTAGTAGTAGTAGTAGTAGTAGTAGTAGTTAGTAGTAGTAGTAGTAGTAGTAAGTAGTAGTAGTAGTAGTAGTAGTAGTAGTAGTAGTAGTAGTAGTAGTAGTAGTAGTAGTAGTAGTAGTAGTAGTGTAGTAGTAGTAGTAGTAGTAGTAGTAGTAGTAGTAGTAGTAGTAGTAGTTAGTAGTAGTAGTAGTGTAAGTAGTAGTAGTAGTAGTAGTAGTAGTAGTAGTAAGTAAGTAGGTAGTAGTAGTAGTTAGTAGTAGTAGTAGTAGTAGTAGTGTAGTTATTAGTAGTAGTAGTAGTAGTAGTAGTAGTAGTGTAGTAGTAGTAGTAGTAGTAGTAGTAGTAAGTAGTAGTAGTAGTAGTAGTAGTAGTAGTAGTAGTAGTAGTAGTAGTAGTAGTAGTAGTAGCAGTAGTAGTAGTAGTAGTAGTAGGAAGGAGGAGGAGGAGGAGGAGGAGGAGGAAGGGGAGGAGGGATTCTAGGATTATAGGTTGGCCTCGCGCGCGCCCACGCAGGGGCACGTGGCCCAGGTAGACGAAGAAGCAAGCAGCCAGACGCGACTGGCGACGGCGACGGCGGCTGCACGGGGGAGGAGGAGGAGGAGGAGGAGGAGGAGGAGGAGGAGGAGGAGGAGGAGGAGGAGGAGGTCGTTCGTGGAGCGGCCTGCAGTCAAGAGGAAACCCTGGGAAGACCTCCCCTCAGAATCGGAGGGCCCCTCCTCCTCCTCGGTGTTTGGCTCCGCTTCTGCTCGCGGAAAACTCAGAGCTTTTTGCGTTCGGAAGCATCGGGGCGACCAGATGAGCAGGGGGGAGGGAAGAGGAATCTCAAGTTAGCCTTCGGTCGGGCATGTCCCCTACAGGCGGATTTTGGAAGACAAGTAAAACGTAGTCAGAAAATGCTCAACAACAGTCACAAATAGTCAAAACAATCGTTCCCAGACTATTTTTGACTATGTTTGAATGCTCCTCCTGTAGAGGGACATGCCAGACGCAAGAGCAGGGGGAGGGAAGAGGAATGTCAAGTTAGCCAGGTCGACCGAGCCAGCGGCCCCCCCGCCCAATGCTTACCACCCCATCCCCCATCACAGTAAGATCGGGTCGGGTATGTACCTCTACAGAGGAATTTTAGACGAATAGTTAAAAATAGACAAAGAATACTCAAACGAATACTCAAAAATGGTCAACAAATCGTCCCCAGATTATTGTTTGTCTATTTCTGAACATTCCTCCTGTAGAGGGACAGGCCCGACTTCACATTAAGAGCCAGTGGTGGCACAACTTGATTCGGGGATGGACAGAACCCCCTTTGATAAAACACGTGGTTTAGTGAAAACGACCTCGGGCCCAAAATCTGGCGGGCGCAAGCCTGGGAAACGACGGCCGCGGCGCCTTCCCGAGAACCGACAACGGACAATTCACTAGTCGACGTGCCATGGTGGGGGTTCTGTCCACCTCCGATTGCTCTTGAACCGGAGCGCGCTTCCCATAGCAAAACCATCGAAACCCAAGAAACCCAGGGCACCCTGTAGGCAAGCAGGGTGTTTCTTGGCATGGGTCTCCACTGTGAGGGCCAGTGGTGGCACAGCCTGATTGAAGGGGCCCAGGGACAAATTAATGCACGCAAATCCCAGGATGCCCTATATTTTTTTGATATCTTTTGCATCCTCGCCTCCCCCCCCCCCCCCACACCTCCCATGATCTTCCCACACTCTCCCGGGGAATCGACGGTGCACCTCGTCCGTGTGCTTCTGCTTCCTCCTGGCTGGTTCCGGAGCCGGAACGCGCTCCCGACCCCCGCGAGCGGGGCACACGCTCCTGCGCGGCCCTGCCTCCGACGGCTCGGCGAGGGGACGGGCAGCGGGCCCCGCGCGGGAGCGGCAGCGGAACTTCAAAAGGCATTCCGTGCGGGCGCTGCGGCGAGAGAAGCCATTCGCCCCCCGCTCGGCGGCGAGCGAGGGGGGGAAGTTTGTGTTTTTTCTTTGTCAACCATCCCCAGTTGGAAGGTTCAGGTTCAGGTTGGAGATAATGGGCCCTCGGTGGCACCCAGCGAGCGAGGGGGGGAAGTGAAAAGTCGAAGGCCTTCTCAGAAGGCGGCGGGACTTCTCAGACAGCCCTCGCGACCTCTGAGAAGTCTGTTCTGTCTTCGGGGGAGGCTCAAAACACTTCTCGGAAGGCCTTCTCCTTCTCACTTCTCCTTCTCACTTCTCTCCCTCGCTCGCCGCCGACTCTCTCCGGCAACCGAATTTCCGATGATCGCGGCAGCAAAGACGAAGTATGCGCCGCGCCGAAGCAGCGCTGCCACCTTCACGCGCAAACTGCATGGCGCCCGACCTAGGACAGCAATGTCGCCCGCTTTCGCGCGGCCTCACTGCCGCTGTCGACTTCATGTGATTTGGCACTTCCGGGAACGCCACGCCAAAACGGGAACGCCACTTCCGGGCGAAATCCGCTGACCCCTTGTGGGTCCCTAGGCGTGTGGTATTCTTTCCCCCCACAACCCCCCCTCTGGGGACCCCAAACCGGCAATTCGACCCCCCCCCCGGCCGAGGACGGCCCACCCCCGAACTCATCAGGGGCGGTCCAGGCTCCGCAGGCTCGATCTGGAGCTCAAAGACACCCCGTCAAGCCTCCCAAGACACCCCCAAGACGGTCCAAGAGAGCCCAGACTCGCCGAATGATCGATCTAAGATGCCCGAGCAGCTGCGAAGACACCCCAAGAGGCCTCCAAGAGGCCTCCCAGGAAGCCCAAAAGAAGCCCAAATCGTCAAATTCCATTGGGGAAACATACATTTCTAGCATATACGACTTTTCGGCCTGCGCGGCGCTGAAGAACATCCAAGAGGCACCCAAAACCGCCCCACGACGGCCCAAAACACCCCCACGAATCCCCCAAGACGGCCCCAGAGGGCTGCAAGCCGGCCCCAGAGGCGCCCAAGACGGCCCAAAAGTGCCCCCAACAAGGCCCAAGAGTGGAACCTCGAACCGAAAATGTGTATTTCTTCCGCCCGACAAGACCCCCAGGAAGCCCGAAGAGGCCTCCGAGAGGGCCCAAGAGGCACCCAAAAGGCACCCAAAAGCCCCCAAAGGCTCCCAAGAGGCTCAAAAGAGGTCCCAAAACGGCCCCCAAGAGCCTTCGAAACTGCCTCCAAGAGGCTCGCGAGAAGCCTCCCCACGAGATCCCAACGGATAGCCCCGAGGCTTCATATCCACAACCCAGACACAGCGGCCGGATGGGCCGAAGGCCACGAGACACTCTCACGAAGTCCAGCCGTAGCGACAATGCCACCCCACGCAGTCCGATCCACCGCCTCTATCATCATTTCCTTCCCCTGGCCCCCAAACAGAAACAACGACCAACTCCCTCCCTTTCTAACATTCCCTCCTCTTCCTGTTTCCCCTGGCGTAGCCCTCGGGAATCCGCCCAGGAGCCAGGACGGCCCGGGAAGAAGTCGTGAGCCAAAGAAGGGTGATCTCGGAGAGTGTGCCGACCCAGGGCCTGGACCGCCAGTACCACGGCAGATTACCCACACGACCACCCTTCGGGTGATAAGGAGGTTGTGGGGGGGAGAGAGGGGGGGGAACCAACATCTGACTCAATCGATCTCACTATCGATCTAACTCAACGGGACACCACGGCACACCACGGAACACCACGGGACACTTGTCGATCTCACTATCGATCTCACTCAACGGGACACCACGGGACACCACGGGCCACAACGGGACACCACGGGACACCTCGGGACACCTCTCGATCTCACTATCGGTCTCACTATCGATCTCACTCAACGCGTCACCATAGGACACCACGGGACACCTCGGGACACCGCATCGATCTCACTATCGATCTCAGTATCGATCTCACTCAACGGGACACCACGGGACACCACGGCACACCTGTCGATCTCACTATCGATCACACTTTTTTGGGACACCACGGGACACCTCGGGGCACCACATCGATCTCAGTATCGATCTCAATATCGATCTCACTATCGATCTCACTCAACGGGACACCACGGCACACCTGTCGATCTCACTATCGATCTCACTCAACGGGACACCACGGAACACCACGGGACACCACGGGGCACTACATCGATCTCAGTATCGATCTCAATATCGATTTCATTATCGATCTCACTCAACGGGACACCACGGGACACCACGGGACACCGCGAGCCACCGCCGGACGGACGGACGGACGGGCGGGCGGGCGAGCGGGGGAGAATCATTTGTCTTGCCTTCGCCCTAGCAACGGCGGACACTACGGGACACCACGGGACACCATGGGAGACCGCGGGACACCGCGAGCCACCGCCAGACGGGCGGGCGGGGGAGAATCATTTGTCTCGACTTCGCCCCAGCAACGGCGGGTTCATTCCTCTCGCGCGCCCACTCAGCTTCGCCTCGCCCGCACGCACGACACCAACGAAACGAAACGATTTCCCAGTTGGGGGTCTCCGTTCCACTGCGATCTCACCCCCCATCTCATCCCATCGCGTCCAAGACAGCTCAAAAGGCCCCCAAATGGGATGCAAGAAGGCGCAAGGGCCGCGGTTTCCAGAGAAGACCTGGGAAGCGGTATCTCGGCAAACAAAACATAACGAGGGGTCGGCGGATGTGGCGTAAGCCTATAGAATATGTACGGAGCTTGAGCGAGTGCGACAACTTGCCCGCTAAAGAGCGGCCCCGCCTCCAACAACTTCGCGAGTGACAAAATATGCAACGCGCCGAGTCGGGAAAGCCACTCGCAAGGCAAACGCTACACGTGGCCAATGCGAGAGCTAAATGCCCGTCCGTTTGCGCACGGCCCCGGTGTCGACGAATTGGCGAGCGAAAACGGCACGCCGCGCCAGAAAAGCTGAGGCTCAACTCTCAGGAAAAATAAGCGGCGCCGAAGCAAGAGCGACATCTCACCCTCTTGAGCGGTATGTGTGGCCCGTTCGATTCCCGCCACGCATCTTGCAACGTCGACGCCAAAACCTCCATGCTGAAAGGCAAGATTTCGACGTTGCACTGGTGAGAGCAATACACATACGTAGTGTAATCTTCTTTAAGCAAGGGCCCAGGGGGGAGGGGGGCGAGACCAGGGGCATTTCGGAGGTGCTGGAGGGGTAAGAGGAGGTACGAGGGAGAAGGGGTGGCACGAAGGGCAAGGGAGGAGGAGAATGACGAGGAGGAGCATGAGGAGAAAGGACGGGGAGAATGAGAGGGAGGGGGGAGGAGGGGAGGGGACGACGAATTTAAAGGGAGGAGGGGATGATGCCGAGGCGAGGTACTATAACGGAGAAGGAGATCACTGGAGCAGGGGGGGCGGCGGAGGACTTCTCCTGCTCCACCTCCTCGTCCCTCCCCATTCCTTCCTCCTCCGCCCCCTCTCCTCCTCCCCCTCCTCCTCCTCCTCCTCCTCCTCCTCCTGCTCCTGCTCCTGCTCCTGCTCCTCCTCCTCCACCACCCTCCTCCCTCCTCCCTCCATCCACCTCCTCCTCCGCCCTCCTCCGCCCTCCTCCGCCTCCGCCTCCGCCTCCGCCTCCCTCCTCCTCCTCTCCTCCTCCTCCTCCTCTCCTCCTCCTCCTCTCCTCCTCCTCCTCCTCCTCCTCCTCCTACTCCTCCTCCTCCTCCTACTCCTCCTCCTCCTCTCTCCGCCCTCCTCGTCCGCCCTCCTTCTCCCCCATTCCTCCCACCGCCAGGGGTCCTCGGACTGCCAGCAAACCGCAGTGAGGCACAAGAGGGGCACCGTGGACGCGAAGATGATCGGCTTGATGCTCCAGCCGCGCTGCAGCCTCGCTGGGCAGGCGCCGCTCTGGCTGCCATCGACCTCCTTTTGCTCCGCCTCGTCGCCATGGACATCCTCTGCCCTCGTCATCCCCTTCCTCCCATTCCTCCCTCGTCCTCCCTCGTCCTTCTCTTCCTGCTCGTCGTCGTCGTCGTCGTCGTCATCGTCCTCCTCCTCCTCGTCCTCCGCACCACCACACGCATCGTAGTCATGGTCGCCATCATGAGCAACATCTTCGTCGACGTCGGCAACCACCATCACGGGCGTGGTCATCGTGCCCCCATCAACGTCGTCATTGTCATCTTCATCGTCATCGTCAACATCTTCAGCTTCATCATCATCATCATCATCATCATCATCATCATCATCATCATCATCATCATCATCACCACCATCATCATCAGCAGCATAATCACCATTCTCAGCATCACCACCACCACACAACTACAACTGACATCACCATGACCCTCACCATCATCACCAGCACCACCACCATTTCATCACCACCACCACAATCATCATCATCATCATCATCATCATCATCAGCATCATCATCATCATCATCACCATCACCATCACCATCACCATCATCATCATCAGCAGCATCATCATCAGCAGCATCATCATCAGCATCATCATCACATGATTATGATTGCTACTATTCTTCATTACTATCATGATCATCATCATGATCGTCATGCTGATGAACACCATCAGCAGCATCAGCATCAGCATCAGCACCATAATCATCATCATCATCCTCTTCCTCTTCCCCTGCAGCATCATCAGCATCTGCAGCATCATCATCATCCTCATCCTCATCCTCATCCTCATCTTCATCAACATCATCATCGGCAGCGGCAGCATGATCATCAGCATCACAACCACCACAACTACAAATGACATCAACATGACACTCAGCATCATCAGCTGCACCACCATCATATTATCATCACCACCACCATCATCATCAGCAACTGCTTTCTGTTGCTAGTCTTCTTCGTACCCACCATGATCATGATCATCATCAGCCTCATCATCAGCAGCAGCATAATCAGCATCATCATCATCACCGCCACTATCACCATAATCATCATCATTATCATCATCACCATTCTAACCATCAACATCATCAACACCATCACCATCACCATCACCCTCACCCTCACTATCACCATCACCATCAGTAGCAGTATCATCATCAGCAGCAGCATCAGCATCAGCATCAGCATGAGCATCATCATGACCACCACCACCACCACCACCACCATCAATATCACCACCACCACCATCTCATCCATGACCTCATCCTCATCCTCCGCATCATCATCATAATCGGAATCGTCACCGTCATCGTCATCATCCTCCTTATCATCATCAGCCTCATCATCATAATCTTCATCATCATTAGCAGGAGCATCATCATACTTAATAATCATCATCATCATCAGCATCATCATCATCATCGACATAAGCATAATCATAATCATCATCATCATCACCACCATCACCATCATCATCATCATCATCATCATCATCATCATCATCATCATCAGCATCAGCATCAGCATCAGCATCAGCATCAGCATCAGCATCATCATCATCAGCATCAGCATCAGCATCATCATCATCATCATCATCATCATCATCATCATCATCATCATCATCATCATCATCATCATCATCGTCATCATCCTCATCATTATCATCCTCATCGCCGTCGCCGCCGTCGTCGTCGTCATCGGCGTCACCGCTGCGGGGTGGGAATTCGAAGCCGGGAGCCCGACTTGGGCACCACGATGGCGCCAGGGCCAGACAGCGCAGAAGGCCCTGGGCCCCCCGAGGAGAACGCCGCGCCCCCGCGGTGGGCCTGCCTACAAGGCTTGGCACGGGAGCGGCCAGCAGCAGCGGCCACGAAGCAAGAAGACGAGCCCTCCAATGAGTATGGTTTCACCGATCCCCATCCCCAGCGGCGTGGCCTGGGCCCCACTGGCCGATTTACCCCCTAGACGGGGATATGGGTCGTCCCCTTCGGGATTCGAGGAGTGTATCTCCAACTGAGGTGGTAATTTGGTGGGGGTCTCGAAGGGGATGGGGATGGTGATTGGTTGAACCATATTGATCCAAGAGCCCGTACAATGACCACCGCTTTGCACATCGGTCGGAAGAGCTGGGCAAAGCCATGAAGTAGAAAGGCGGACAGAGTAGATTGGGTTCGGGCCTTCCCAGAAAAGCACAAGCACAGCAGAAGCACATCGTCTCTTGAAACAGGAAGGCGCTTGAAGCAGGTTGTGATCTGGGAAGCCAAGAATGCCTGCTTTCAATGACCGGCGCGTGTGTGTTGGTCCTCACATCGAGCGCGATGGATCGTCAGCTTGGCCAAGGGCGATCCGGGCGACCGAGCTGAGCATTGTCCGTGTTTCTCGGCCACTCCTGCGGCGGGTTCGTGTCGTGTCGACCCCGGCGTTGGTTCCTGACACCGCCAGGACTGTTCAACCTTGAACACTCGAGCGTTTCCGAAACGTCAACTCGTTCAGCATCGATCGATTTTGGGTCGCCAGTGGCGTTCAACGTTAAACGCTGGCGGCGGGGTCGCCGCCGGTCGACACGACGCGAACCCACCGTGCCCGCGCCTGCAGGGGTGGTGGCAACGATGCGCTTACGGCTGTTTGCATACACACACACACAGACACACACACACACACACACACACACACACCCTGCACAGGGAACGCGGAAGTGGCTTGGCGCCGAGACGCCAGTGTACCCATAAGCACTTTTTCCCAACCATCCTGTGGTTTTGGGTCCTCGTTTTAAAGAGACAGCGCCCCGCGTCATCCCACCTAACCTCCCGCCCTCCTCCCTCTCCCCTCTCATCCCTCTTCCGCCTCCTCTCCTCATCAGTATGCGGTTCCCCCACCCAGTATAGCGTTTCCTGGCCCCTTAGGGAGCGCCACCGAAGGCGCCAGCGGCTGAGCTCGCATGCGTTTCCCCCCCCCCCCAGTGAAGCGTTTCGTGGCCCCTTCGGGAGCTCCACCGAAGGCCCCGCCCCAGTGGCTGAGCTCGCATGCGGTTCCCCCACCCAGTACAGCGTTTCGTGGCCCAATCGGAAGCTCCACCGAAGTCCCCCAGTGGCTTAGCTCGCATGTGGTTCCCCCACCCCCCACCCACTATAGCGTTTCGTGGCCCCATAGGGAGCTCAACCGAAGGCCCCAGTGGCTGAGCTCGGATGCGTTTCCCCATCCAAATACAGCGCTGCGTGGCACCATAGGGAGCTCCACCGAAGGCCCCGGTGGCTGGGCTCGCATGCGGCTCCCCCACCCAGTCCAGCGTTTCGTGGCCCAATCGGGAGCTCCACCGAAGGCCCCAGTGCCAGTGGCTGTGCCCGCATGTTGTTCCCCCACCCAGTACAACGTTTCGTGGCCCCAGCGGGAGCTCCACCGAAGGCCCCAGTGGCTGAGCTCGCATGCGGTTCCCCTACCCAGTGCAGCGCTTCGTGGCCCCATCGGGAGCTCCACCGAAGGCCCCAGTGGCTGAGCTCGCATGTTGTTCCCCCACCCAGTACAACGTTTCGTGGCCCCATAGGGAGCTCCACCGAAAGCCCAGTGGCTGAAATCGCATGCGTTTCCCCACCCAGTCCAGCGTTTCGTGTCACCATAGGGAGCTCCACCGAAGGCCACAGTAGCTGAGCTCGCATGCGTTTCCCCCACCCAGTACAGCGTTTCGTGGCCCCAGAGGGAGCTCCACCGAAGGCCCCAGTGCCAGTGGCTGAGCTCGCATGCGGTTCCCCCACCCAGTGCAGCGCTTCGTGGCCACAGAGGGAGCTCCACCGAAGCCCCAGTGGCCGAGCTCGGATGCGTTTCCCAGTACAACGTTTCGTGGCCCCATAGGGAGCTCCACCGAAGGCCCCGGTGGCTGGGCTCGCATGCGGCTCCCCCGCCCAGTCCAGCGTTTCGTGGCCCCATAGGGAGCTCCACCGAAGGCCCCAGTGGCTGAGCTCGCATGCGGTTCCACAACCTAGTGCAGCGCTTCGTGGCCCCTTCGGGAGCTCCACCGAAGGCCCCAGTGCCAGTGGCTGAGCTCGCATGCGGTTCCCCCACCCAGTGCAGCACTTCGTGGCCCCATAGGGAGCTCCACCGAAGGCCCCAGTGGCTGAGCTCGCATGCGGTTCCCCCACCCAGCACGGCGTTTCGTGGCCCCATGTGGAGGGAGCTCCACGGAAGGCCCCAGTGCCATGGTTCGCATGCGGCTCCCCCATCCAGTACAGCGTTCCATGGCCCCATAGGGAGCTCCACCGAAGGCCCCAGTGGCAGCACTGGCATGCGTTTCTCTCAACCAGTACGGCGCTTCCTGGCCCCATAGGGAGCTCCACCGAAGGCCCCAGTGGCTGAGCTCGCATGCGGTTCTTCCACCCGGTACAACGCTTCGTGGTCCCATCGGGAGCTCCCCCGGAAACCCCAGTGGCTGAGCTCGCATGCGGCTCCCCCACCAAGTACAGCGTTTCGTGGCCCCAGTGGGAGCTCAGCCGAAGGCCCCAGTGGCTGCACTCGCATGCGTCTCCCCAGCCCAGCCCAGCGCTTCGTGGCCCCATCGGGAGCTCCACCGAAGGCCTCAGTGGCAGTGTTCGCATGCGTTTCCTCCGCTCAGTGCAGCACTTCGTGGCACCTTACCATAGGGAGCTCCACCGAATGCCCCAGTGCCATGGTGCGCATGCGGTTCCCTCACCCAGTACAGCGTTCCGTGGCCCCAGAAGGAGGCTATATCGAGGGCTCCAGTGGCGGTGTTCGCATGCGTTTCCCGACCACAATATAATGCTTCGTGGTCCCATACGGAACTCCACCAGAAACCCCAGTGGTTGAGCTCGCATGCGTTTCCCCCACACAGTACAGCGCTTCGTGGCCCCAGGGGGAGCTCCACCAAAGGTCCCAGTGGCGGCCCCTTCCCACTGCGGCGCACCCCTCGCACGTTCGCGGCCCCGTAGTGGGTTCTGGCCACGTGGCGGCCCCGCCCCACGTCGGCACACCCTTCGCATACTTTATGGCCCCATGAGGAGATCCCCCGAAGGCGATACCCGCAACGACGTCACTGACAGCTGCATTAGGTTGGATCCTTCGCCAGGAAGATTACTATGGGCTGTTGCGCCGCTCACATCTGCGCTGGCCGACGAACAACTTGCTCTTTGCAAAAACGACAGCCACCATGCGAGCACTACCCTTCCTCCATAAGCGAAGTCTCCTGTTCAACAGACTGTCGCTCTGTCTGGTGGAGACCATACGTCAGAGTCAAAGCTCTAGGTGTCTGAGGGCCTCGCAGAGGACGAACACACATCCTGGGGCCGCACACTGGAACATCTGCTTAGAAACCTTGAAGACATGTCTCTACCCGAAAGTGAACATCAACGAACAGCTGCTACTGAAACACCCAGTTGACAACAAGTTGCTATGCATTCCAAATACTGTCCAGCAATGGTGCATAGGGCCAAAGGGAAATCAATATATTGGAGCACACGGTGCCACGCACATATTAAATCGAAGGCCAACGCAATCCTTGCTGTCTGGAGGCTTCGTGGCTTGTGCATGAGCCTTCACATGCGAAATGACTCTGCGAGGGCAGCGCGAACAATACTTGAGGTCCTAATGCTATCCTTTTCAAGGGAGGCTGCGGGTCGAAACCAACATTGCATACTTTTCCAATCGATGCTCGCACTGAAGAGTCAACTTGCAAATATTTGATGCACATGGGCTGCTGAGTCTTGGTGAGGGTGTGGCGTCGATTCCGACGGGCGGCCAAATTCCTGGTTCCTGCGCTCTGGGTTCCCAACTCCTGCGCTCTGGCGTGCCTGGTTTTGGCCAGGCCCCCGGGGGCCTCGGGAGCACGGAGACAGGAGCACACAGTAGCGAGGACCCCCGCCGCCACAGGGTGTGCCTCCTCTGACTCGGTGGCGAGCCCAGGGGGGAAGCCAGAGGGGGGCGGGCCTGCTCGGAGAGCTGCGGGGCGTCTCAGGAGCCCTCGCGCCTCCCGAGGAGTCTTGCGAGCCTTGTCCCAAGCCACAGACAGCTCCCCAGAAGGCGCGAGGACTTCTGAGAAGTCCCGCCGCCTTCTGAGAAAGCCTGCCCCTTCTCACATCCCTCCTCCTCCTCCTCCTCCTCCTCCTCCTCCTCCTTCCTCTTTCGGTTCTCGGGTCATACCATGGGTCTCTGGCGGCCTTCCGGGACGATCTGGACGCCCCCATGACGACTCTCGGCGGGGTGCAGCTGCTTGAATCGCATCCCGAGACAGGAAAACCCGCAGAAACCAACAACAACGCTTGAAAACTGGATCGAGGATCGAGGATCGATTTTGACAACCTAGAGGCCTCCTAGATGGGGTCGAATGGGGTCGGAGGATCGCGCCGCATCGCCGATACATCGCCGATGCATCGCCTGCACATCGAGCCGCAACGGTGATGCATCGGCGATGCGGCGCAATCCTCCGATCCCATTCACTCCGACCCCATCTGGGAGGCCTAGACAGTCGGCGAATGGAGTCGCATCGAGTCGGTTCGCGGGAGGCCCCGAGGCCGAGCCGCGTGGTGGCCTGAGGAGCCCGCACGCCGAGGCGACGCCCACGCCGCACGCGACGGCCTGGCGACAGGCGCTGCTGCTGACGGCCTGGCTCGACCGTGCCTGCCTTCCTCAACCACCTCCTCCTCCTCTCCCTCGCCCATGTACCGCCTCCTCCTCCCCCATACCCCCTCCTCCTCCTCCGCCTCCTCCTCCTCCTCCTCCTCCTCCTCCTCCTCCTCATCATCATCATCATCATCATATCATCATCATCATCATCATCATCATCATCATCATCATCATCATCATCATCATCATCATCACATCATCATCATCATCATCATCATCATCATCATCATCATCATCATCATCATCACCATCACCACCACACCCCACCATCATCATCATCATCATCATCATCATCATCATCATCATCATCATCATCATCATCATCATCATCATCATCATCATCATCATCATCATCATCATCTCATCATCATCATCATTCTCCTCCCCACATACTTCCTCTCCTCAACCTCCTCCTCCTCCTCCTCCTCCTCCTCCTCATTCTCTCTCTTCTCCGCCTCCTCCCCTCCCCACGCACTTCCCTATCCTCCTCCTCCTCATCCTCCTCATCTTTCCCATCCCCCTCCCCACATGCCTTCTCCTCCTACTCCACCTCATCATCATCATCATCATCATCATCATCATCATCATCATCATCATCATCATCATCATCATCATCATCATCATCATGATCATGATCATCATCATCATCATCATCATCAGCATCATCATCACCACCACCAACATCATCCTCATCATCATCGCCACCACCAGCATCATCATAAACATCATCATCATCAGCAGCAGCAGCTTCATCATCCTCATCATCAGCATCATCATCAGCACCATCAGCATCATCATCATCATCATCATCATCACCAGCATCATCATCAACCACCCGCGTCACCATCATCATCAACATCATCACCGTCACAAACCCTCACCATCACCATCATCATCATCACCATCATCATCAGCATTATCATCATCAACACATCAGCATCATCATCAACATCATGGTCACCATCATCACCATCACCACAACCACCACCACAACAACCACCACCACCGCAACAACCACCACCATCTCACCACCACCATCATCATCAGCAGAATCATCAGCATCATCATAATCACCATCACCACCAACATCATCCTCATCATCATCGCCACCACCAACATCATCATAAACATCATCATCATCAGCAGCAGCAGCTTCATCATCCTCATCATCAGATCATCAGCATTTGCATCAGCACCATCAACATCATCATCATCATCACCAGCATCATCATTAACCACCCGCGTCACCATCATCATCAACATCATCACCATCACAAACCCTCACCATCACCATCACCATCATCACCATCATCATCATCATCATCAGCAGCATCATCATCACCAACACATCAGCATCATCATCATCATCATTATCATCGTCACCATCATCACCATCATCACCATCACCACAACCACCACCACGACAACCACCACCACCGCAACAACCACCACCATCTCGCCACCACCATCATCATCAGCAGAATCATCAGCATCATCAGAATCACCATCACCATCATCAGCATTGGCTTTATCATCAGCAGCATCATCATTACCATCACCATCACCATCATTATTCCCCAATCAGAGCTTGCCTCTGTAGGGGTCCTAGCGGATTCATATGTGTAAGTGACCTACGTCGCCGATTTCGGTGGCCGGACCCAAGAGCCGCGGGTGCCCTGGGGTGCCCGGGTGCCCGGGTGCCCTGGGGTGCCCGGGTGCCCTGGGGTGCGCGGGTGCCCAGGTGCCCGGGTGCCCGGGTGCCTGGGTGCCCGGGTCCCCGGCTGCCCAGGTGCCCGATAGCCCTATAGCTCTGTAGCCCTACAGCCTTGTAGCCTTATAGCCCTATGTCCCTATAGCCCTATAGCCAATAGCTCTATGGCCCTATAGCCATATAGCCCCATAGCCTTATAGACTATAGCCCTATAGCACTATAGCCCTATAGCCCTATAGCCCCATAGCCTATAGCCCTATAGCCCTATAGCCCTATAGCCTTATACCCCAATCGCCCTAAAGCCCTATAGCCCTTATGGCAATATAGCCCTATAGCCTTACAGCCTTGCAGCCCTATAGCCCAATAGTCCTAGCCCTATAGCCCTATAGCCCTTTAGACCTATAGCCCTATGGTCCTATAGCCCTTAGCCCCGTAGCCGTAAACAAATTAGATATAATTGGGTTTTTTCTGATAACAAAACAGTCGTCACGATCATTACCATCATCATCATCACCATCACCACCATCACCATCACCATCACCATCACCATCACCATCACCATCATCATCATCATCATCATCATCATCATCATCATCATGTTCATGGTTGTCATCGTCTTCATCATCATGATGATCTGCATCATCATCACCACCACCATCAGCATCATCAACATCATCGTCAGCACCAGCATCACCATCACCAGCACAGCAGCGTCAGCATCATCATCGTCATCATCATCAGCTTCATCATCATCATCATCACCATCCCATCCTCATCATCAGCATTATACTCAGAATCATAACCATCACCATCATCATAAGCATAATCATCATCCATTTCACCATCATCAGCATCATCATATTCATCTTCTTCTTCTGTTTCATCATCATCCTCATTAGCGGCATCACTCATGATCATCATCATCATCATCATCATCATCATCATCATCATCAGCATCACAATCGTCATCGCCATCGTCGCCCTCAGCATCATAATTAGCATCAGCAGCATCAAACATCACCACCGTCATCGTTGCATTCGTCTTTATTGCCATCGTCATCATCATCATTATCATCAGCAGCAACAGCACCATCATCATCGACGTCAGCATTAACACCGACATCGACATCATCACCACTACCACCAGTATCATCATCATCATCATCATCATCATCATCATCATCATCATCATCATCATCAGTATCATCATTGTTATCATCATCACATATCATCATCACCCTCCTCCTCATCCTCATCATCATCGTCATTACCGTGGTCGTCATCATCACCATCGTCATCATCATCGTTGTTATCATCATGAGCATCATCATCATCATCATCACCACCATCATCATTATCGTCCTCGTCCTCGTCGACGTCGACATCGACATCTTCATCGTCGCCACCATCAGTATCAGCATCAATATCATTATCCCCACCATAGCTCATCATTCTCCTCCGTCTCCTTCTCCTCGCCCTTGCCCACAGATCCCCTCTTCCTCATCCTTTTCCTCTTCTTCCTCCCTCCCTCCCTCGTCCTCCCCCTCCCCCGCATGACTCCCCCTCCTCCTCCTCCTCCTCCTCCTCCTCTTCCTCCTCCTCCTCCTCCTCCTACACCTACTACTTACACATCGGAGGCGAACGACACATCCGACATACCGAAAATCACAAGACCTGCAAACGGCGTACTGCGATCAGGCACGAGTAAGGCTAGCTGAGACCATCCTCGAGCTACGAGTAACATTCACGCGTGCAAAGCCCTCCTTCTCTTCTTCTACCTAATCCTCCTCCTACTCTTCCTATTCCCCCTCTCCTCCCCTCCTGCCCCCTGTCGCAGGCGTCGGGCACAATTGAACATCACTCGCGCAACACGACAACACATAAACAACTCTCAAGCCTCCCTCTTCCCCCCCCCGGATGCACTGTTGCTCGTCGGACATCAGGGGCTCTACTCTTCAGCGGGGTGAGGCGCAAATGTAGTTTTCGGAGACTTCGCTTGCTGTTGCTCTATTGATTCAGCCTGCCATCTCACTCCCCAATGTGCCGTAGCAATCTCCCCGAATGGCAAAGGGCGGAACAGCTCCGCCCGTTGCCATTCGGAGAGATTATGACGTGCGCTGTGATTGCTCCCGTTGCTTCCTTCGGTCAGTCGACAATTGGTCGACGACAAGGCGCTCTCGCTGGTGAGCTCACCACGCCGACGAACCTGGGAGTGAACATGTGAATCGCTTCCAGATGTGAACAAGTGGGGGGGATCAGGAGGGGCAGGGGGTAATAGACAACCGCGTTCTGCTACTCGCAAAAAAGCTGCTCGCCAATGGCCTGGATCCGCCGCGAGGGATTTACGGTCCAGTACAACGAAGCGAACGTGTGGTTTTTCGGACGTTTGCGAGTAGGCTCTTTGCGAGTAGTGGAACGCGCTCAGTGAAGGGATACGGGGGGAGGGCAACAGAGTGGCCTGCAACAGGCCTTCGCGCCACCGTACCCCCCTCGCCGAGCTGCAGACGCTGGGAGGAGGCGCGCCGACGCCCCGCAGAACCACGGAAGCAACTTAAGAGGGAACGAATGGAAACGCTCACCTGGAGCATAAAAACTAATTACGGCAGGTTCGCGTCGTGACGACCCCGGTGTTGGCTTCTGACACCGCGTGGATCGTTCAACCTTGAACGATCGGCCGTTCCCGCAACGTCCAATCTTTCAACATCGACCGATTCTGGGTCGCCGCCAGTCGACACGACGCGAACCTGCGGTACATAAGCGCGAAATGTCGGAGCTCCGCGCTGATTTCTTCTGACTTCTTGGATCTACGCTGGCCCCCGGGAGCGCGCCAGGGGGGCCCAGCGCCGATCCCAGAAAGCCGCGCGCAACTCCGAAAACGCATGATTATGCCGTGAAGGCGCCCCGACGGCAAAAAAGCTTTCGTGAAGGCTTCCCGCCATCTTGCTTCGACCACCGTCGGGGATCTACTGACCTGGGCCGATCCAGACCCGTGTCAGTCAGGCCTGGAAGGATCCTGCAAGATGCTGCAGGATCCTGTAGGATCCTGCACCCCGACCCAGGCCAATGCTCCCCCGGCTCTGCAGGATCATGTATGATCCGGCGCTCTGACTGACCTCCGTTTGCATTGACCCCCGTCTCTCGGGAGCGGCCAAGAGGGGGGCATCCAAGAGGGGAGGGCCGCAAATCATGGCCAGCGGCGTGTGCGCGGCCCAGGGGGGCCGGGGACATATTGAAATACGAAGAGACGCCATGAGATCCGGGGAAATATCGCGGCCCACGCCACGATATTCACCCCCCCCCCCCCTAGTCATCACCCCCCTCTTTGCCGCCCCCGAGTCTGACTCTTGAGCCCCGACGCTGGAGGGCTTGAGGTGCGCCGGCGCGGACGCGGCAACGGCGCGGCACGCGACCCCGCGGGAGGCGCTCGCCGAAGAGGCACGGGGGCAAGGGCGCGAGGCCCTGGGATCCCTGCAGCTCCGCGGCGCTGCACACGGGGACGCGGCGGAGGGGCGCAGCGGGAATGCTGCGAGACGGGGCCGCTGTCCGCCGAGACAGTCAACCCGTATAAGAATAGTAATAATGAGACGAATAACAGTAATAATGATAATAACAATAATAATAATAATAATAATAATAATTATGATTATAATTATAATAATAATAATAATAATAATAATAATACTAATAATAATAATGATAATAATAATAATCATAATCTTAATAATATTAACAATAATAATACTACGAATAATAATCACAACACTAACCATAACAATAATAATGTGCTTATTACTACTAAGAGATAGTAATACTATTGATGGTAGCACTACTCATAATCATACTAATAATAATAATCAGAGTAAGAATCATAATCATAGCCATAATAATACGAACAATAATGCCAATACCGATAGTAATATTACTTCAAATAATGATAATAATAATACTAAAACAATGATAATACAATCAATCATAATGATAATCATCATAATCATAATCATAAGGATGCGCGGTAAGGAAGGATGCATGGGGCCCTCTGGGGCCACCCTGGAGACCCTCTGGGGCCCCGATGGCGCCCAGCAGTACCAGGGAGAGCGATTTGGGGGGGGGGGGGGACTGGCTCAGGGAGGGAGGCGTCGACCTGGAATCGGCGACAGATCGCCGATAGATCGGCGACACAGTCTACCCGTATCATGAGGATGCGCGGTAAGGATGCAAGGGCCTTGGAGGGCCACGTTGGCGTTTTTCGAAGTTGGTTGGCCAGCGAATGTCGCTGAGGACGGGCCGAAGGGGCAAGGATGCAAGGGTACCCTTTGTAACATTGCCCATCCTGACTATGCGGGTTGACTGTGCCCGCCAGATTGGTCTGTCCGCCCCAGGAGGGGCTAGCGGTTGGCATGGCGAGACCGATGCCAAATCCTGCTGCTCCCTGCCTCCCCCCCCCGCCGAGGCAGGGGGCGGCGGAAACAAAGGGGAGGAGGAGGTGGTGGTGGTGCTGCTGCCGCTGCTGCTGCTGCTGCCGCTGCTGCTGCTGCTGCCGCTGCTGCTGCTGCTGCTGGTGCTCACGTCAGCAACAGCGTCCCGCAGCCGCTCTGGCGCATCATCAGGCCCCCAGAGGGCGAGGACAGTGGTGCCGTCGGCGGCGACTCAAAGGAGCTCGAAGACAGCCGCCGCTTTGGCGTCGAGCTGGGCAAATCTGAAAGATAGATCGCGGCCTGCAGCTGCCACGAACGTCAGCATTTGTAGAGGAACACACAACACGGCATGAGCATAAACTTTTAACGGTCCGCGCGGATGCATTCCTTGGAGCTGCGCTGAGTCCCCTCATTGGCGCCAGGGGCGGCGGCGGAGGCGCCGCCAGGAGGCTCCAGCGCAGATCCGAAAAATCCGCGCGGAATTCAGAAAGCTTATGTCTATGTGTTTGTCTTCCTCGAAGCCTGCAGCTGCCACGAGCGTCAGAGAGCGTGAAATTTGCCTCGCTGGACCCTTCCTGCCACACTTCATGGGGGAGACGGCCAAGGGGGGGAAGCGCGAGAGGGCCGGCCTTCTCGGAAGGCTCGGAAGACCCCCGGCCTTCTGCAAAGTTCTCGAAGCCTCCCCCGAAGACGCAGAGAACCTCTCAGAAGGCTTGAGGGCCTCTGGGAAGCCCCGCCGCCCTCTGAGGAGGTCTTCTCCTTCTCGCTTCCCCCCCTCGCTCGCTGCTCGCCGAGGGGGGTCGCCGCGAAAGAGGAGCGCGGGCGCGCCGACAGCAGCTCGAACGACCTATCCGGGCTCAGAACCCGCACCTCGGGGGAGGCACGGCCGCAAAGGCGGGGGGACGGCGCGTGGCCCCCCCTTGCGCGGCCTCCCTCCTCCTCCGCCTCCTCCTCCTCCTCTTCCTCCGCCTCCTCCGCCTCCTCCGCCTCCTCCTCCGCCTCCTCCGCCTCCTCCTCCTCCTCCTCCTCCGCCTCCGCCTCCGCCTCCGCCTACTCCTCCACCTCCCTCTCCTCCGCCTCCTCCGCCTCCTCCGCCTCCTCCGCCTCCTCCGCCTCCTCCTCCGCTTCCTCCTCCTCCTCCTCCGCCTCCCCCTCCGCCTCCTCCTCCTCCTGACACATGACGCCCGATGGCTGCATTGTCATCTGACGAAGCCTCCCCACCTCCAGGGCCGGTCGGCCCTGGGGTGTGTGACCAAACTACCAAAGCCAGGCGACCCCTGGAGCGCCGCTCCAAGGGTCGCCGGCTGGCCTGGAGAATGCGTAACAAGTAAGGGTGAAGACAAAAACGGGAGGAGGGAGAGGAAAAGGAGGGAAATCATCATGACCTCAAAGAGGGGCAGGGAGGAGAGAATAATCACAGGGAGCACGCGATGGTAGCGGCGGCAGTATGTGAGCGGCGCAGCGCGGGCAGAGTGGTGGCGCGGCCGCTCTCGCCAAGGTGGAAGGCCTAAGGGCCTCGCCCCCTGCACATGGGAACTCTCCGAAGCGTCCATCAGCCCAGCAGCGGGTTATCCTCCCCTGACAAGCAGGAGCAGGGTATCGAAACCGCGGGGCTGGTGGCCGCTTGGGGGTTGTCACCGTGCCTGGGGGAGGTTTCTGCCTTCTGTGGCGGTGGCACGGTTTTGTTCAAGTGGTATCCCCGACCACCCATGTGAAACCTGGCCGACCCCCTCCCACATGAACGCAGGATGTGACCGCTAGATGAGCGAAGGGTGCGGCGAGAGGCAGAGGCGACAGAGGTGATGAACGCTTGGGAAGTGATATCTGTTGCTCAGGCCAAGCTGTAGCAGTGCACTTTCTGTAGGCTTAGACTGCTGCAGATACATTCGAAGATGATTGCTGAGCGTGGCCCTGCCATCGCTCGGACGTCCACTCCCTGTGCAAGTTTCAATTCCGTGCGTGCTTGTTTCGCAAGATGATCCAAGATGCTCCTCGATGGCCCCTGGCAAGATAATACGCACACGTCCGAGCAATGCCATGGTGGCCAACGGAGGTTGATCCCTCCGACCCATAAACCGACCCGCTCCCCCCAACCAAGTGGCTCCTCCACCTCCTCCTCATCCTCCGCCTCCTCCTCCCTCCTCCTCCTCTTCTTCCTCCTCCTCCGCCTCCTCCTCTCCATCCTCCTCCTCCTTCTCCTCCTCTTCATTTCCTCCCTCCCTCACACCCTCACACCCTTACATCGTTCACCCTCTCCATCCCACTTACTGACAAATCCGCCACCGTGCCCCGTGGCACGGCGTGTGCTATCTGGTAAGATTATGTGACAAAACGTTATATCCGCGCTCCAGAGGCCATCCCGAGGCCACGATCCCTCGTATCACAACGCTCTATCCGCCCTCCCGAGGCAATGATGCCCTTCCTCCTCCGCCGCGAGGCAAGATGCTCCTCAGACTTTCAAAACAAGGGCAGGAAACCTGCTTCAGATAACACCCCCTCGATCCTCCCAAGATCGGAGAACGTCTGCTCAGTCGGTCCCAACAGCTGTCCCGCAACGGCGGCGGCGGCGGCCGCCCCTTCCCGAAAGGCCCCTCCCCCAAGCAGCAGAAAGTCCCGCCAAACGACGACCACGGCTGCGGAGGGCCGCCGCCGCCGCCACGGCGACCACCTCTGCCAAACGACGACCTCCCCCCCTAGCACAGGGTCCCACCGAGGCCCGCGCCAGCAGCTCGTCACCGCCAGCGCCAGCGCCGCGGACGACGACGACGACGAAGACGACGACGACGCCGACGACGACGGCGACGACGACGACGCCGACGACGACGACGACGACGACGACGACGACAACGACGACGACGCCGACGACGACGACGACGGCGGCGGCGGCGGCCGCGGCGGCGGCGGAGGCGGGGGCGGCGGCAGGACCTCGGCTGAGCGCCCGGGCCGTCTCGGAAGGCTCAGAATATCTCCGACCTTCTCAGAGGCTTCCGGAGCCATCTCCGAAGCCACAGGCGACCCCTCCAATTCGCCGGGGCCTCTGGGAAGGCCAGACGCCTTCTAACAAGGCCTGCCCCCTCTCACTTCCCCCCTCGGCTTTCGGGCCACAACTCGGGCCTCTGGCGGTCGTTCGGGACGATCTGGACGCCCCTGGGCGCCTCTCGGCGAGCTGCCGAAACGCATCTCGACGCGGGAGCACTCCCAGAAACCGACGCGAACGCCCGAAAACTGGACCAAGGATCAATCGATTGGCGGCGAGCCTGGAGGGGAAGCGATAAGGGGCGGGCCTCCTTAGAAGGCTCGGAAGTCCCCGGGCCTTCTGATAAGTCTTCTGACCCTTTGCCGAAGACCCAGACAGATTCTCCGAAGGCTGGAGGGTTCCTGAGAAGCCCCGCCGCCCTCTGAGAAGGCCTCCTCCCTCTCACTTCCCCCCCCCTCGCTCGCGGCCGAATCGAGGGTCGAGAACCGAGGATCGAGGATCGAACACCGAGGATCGAGGATCGAAGATCGTGATGCCCTCCCACTTCTCCCGTGGGGCGCGGCGCCGACCTTCTGCCCGAGGAGGGCCCCCCCCCCCCGGCAGCAGAGCGGTCCGCGGCCGAGGCCCGCGCCAGCAGCTCGTCGCCGCGTCGCGGCGCGCCGCCGGGGCCCTGGGGGCGCGGCCGCGAGGCGCGCTCGCAGCTGCCGGGCGGATGCCGCCTCCGTGGAAAACGACAGCCTACAGGGGGAGGTGGAGGAGGAGGAGGGGGAGGAGGAGGAGGAGGAGGAGGTGGAGGAGGAGGAGGAGGAGGAGGAGGAGGAGGAGAGGAGGAGGACCAGGAGGAGGTTGGGGGGAGTCATATAGGAGAAGGTGAAGGAGGAGGAGAAGAGGAGGAGGAGGAGGAGGCGGAGGAGAGAGGAGGAGGAGGAGGAGGAGGAGGAGGAAAAGGTGGAGGAGAAGAGGGTGGAGGAGGAAGAATAGGTGGATTCAGGAGGAGGAGGAGGAGGAAGAGGAAACGGAGGGAGAAGGAGGAGGAGGAGGAAGAGGAAGCGGAAGAGGAGGATGAGCATTCAGGGAGCATTCCCGAGGCGACTGGGGTCGCGCAGAAGGAGGGGGAGGAAGAGGAAAAGGAGGAGGAGGAGGAGGAGAAGGAGGAGGAGGAGAGGAGGAAAAGGAGGAAGCGGAGGGAAAAGGAGGAGGATGAGGAGGAGGAGGGAGGAAGGGACAATAACGAGGAGGCGGACGAGGATGAGGAGGATGAGGAGGGAGGAGGAGGAGGAGGGGGGGGCGGCGGAGGAGGAAGAGGAGACGGACGAGGAGGAGGGGGAGGAGGAAGAGGAGGAGGAGGAGGAGGAGGAGGAGGAGAAGGAAAAGGAGGAGGAGGGGGAGGAAGCTGAGGGAGGAGAAAGAGGAGGACGAGGAAGAGGATGACGAGGAGGACGAGGACGAAGAGGAGGAGGAGGAGGAGCACGAAAAGGAAATGGGGGGAAGGCTAGTAGGAGTAGGTGTACGAGGATTAGGAGGAGGATGAGGAGGAGGAGGATAGGAAGGAGGAGGAGAAAGAGAACAAGGAGGAGGAAGAGGAGGAGAAGGGATGATGAGGATGAGGAGGATGATGATGATACGCAGGAGAAGAAGGAAGAGAAGAGGGTGGAGGAGGAACGATAGGTGGAGGGAGGAGGAGGAAGAGGAAGAGGAAACGGAGGGAGGAGGAGAAGGAGGAGGACGAGACGGTGGAGGAGGAAGAGGAGGAGTGGGAGGTGGAGGGAGGAGCGGGAGGAGGAGGAGGAGGAGGAGGAGGAGGAGGAGGAGGAGGAGGAGGAGGAGGAGGAGGAGGACGGAAATAACGAGGAGGATGAGGAGGACGAGGACGAGGAGGATGAGGAGGAGGAGGAGGAGAAGGAAAAGGAGGAGGAGGATGGGGAGTAGGAGGAGGAGGAGGAGGAAGACAAGGAGGAGGAGGATGAGAGGGTGGGAGGAGGAGGAAGAGTGGAGGAGGCGCGGGAGGAAGAGGAGGAGGAGGGAGAGGAGGAGGGAGGAGGAGGAAGAGGAGGAGGATGAGGATGATGAGATGGAGGGAGGAGGTAGGAGAAGGATAATGAGGAGGAGAAGGAGGAGAAGAAGACGAGGAGGAGAAAGAACAGGGGTGGAGGAGAGGAAGAGGTGGAGGGAGGCGCGGGAGGAGGAAGAGAAGGAGGAGGAGGAAGAGGATGGAAGAAGGAGGAGGGGGAGGAGGAGGAGGGAGGAGGAGGAGGAGGAGGAGGAGGAGGAGGAGGAGGAGGAGGAGGAGGAGGATGGAACAGTAGGAGGAGGAGAAGGAGGAGGAGGAGGAGGAGGAGGAGGAGGAGGAGGAAGCGACACTAACGAGGAGGATGAGGACGAGGGCGAGGAGGAGGAGGAGGAGGAGGAGGAGGAGCAGTAGGGGTAGTAGTCGGAGGAAGAGGAGGAGGCGGAGGAGGAGGAGGAAGAGTCTTGATATGACAAAGACCAGCCGCACGCGTACCAGCCTGCATATAAAAACTCTCGGGCCAACGATGGAGACGCTATTCGACCCAACTCCTCGCTACGCGGGAAAGGTCGTCATCGTCATCCGAGTCGCTGGCATCACCAGCCGCACGCGTACCAGTCTGCATATAAAAACTCTCGGGCCAACGATGGAGACGCTATTCGACCCAACCCCTCGCTACGCGGGAAAGGTCGTCATCGTCATCCGAGTCGCTGGCGTCAGGGAAGCCAACAAGGTCTTCCCACAAGGCCGACTCAGTCTGGGAAGCAGGAGGAAGAACGTGCTCCTGCCCCGCCCACCCCGCCCCCACTCCCGACCCACTCCCCGCCCCAGAGGTCTCAGGGAGAGAGGGAAGCGGCGGCATGCTAGCCGTCTCGCCGAACCTCCTCTTCTGCAGCAAAATAGGAGGCCCTAAACAACAAACGCGACTTATCGGGGTGGCAACCCTTCAGCAAATTCTGAAGGCGATAAAACCGAGAGTCCTTCACCTGGGTGCCGAGCCGACGTCGCCTCGGCAAGCACTCTACCGAAATAGCCTGGCTGCGTTTTCCGAATAGGCGCCGCATAGTGAGCAGAAAAGCACTGGCCCCGTCCGATGTAGTGAATGCATGCCAGCTCTATCCTGGCACTTGAGCTGGCGAAGTGTGAGTCGGGACTTCGCCGACCGAAGACAGATCATGCAACGATATCGACGATCGCAATACGCGACCGCGCGATCAAAGCGAGAGTGCGGCCTCGGCGGGCCGTACCCTCCCTCAATGGTGCCGATCGCCTTGCCAAGCGCCTGAGCCTGCGCATCCAGCGGGGTGACCGAGCCTATCCTCGAAACAATGCGGGTGCAGAACTGGGCGACCATCTTGATCGCACTGCGCGACGCTCGGTGCGCTGCTCGCAGCGGCTCAGCGTCGGGATGCATTGCAGCACCGCGCTTGGCAGAAATGTCGGCCTTCGCGTTGCCGAACCGCTGCCACGCAGCGATCACACCATCCGCAACAGCAGAAGGCGAGTGCGCTTTTACATGAGTAACCTCCACCGCCTCCACGCCACGGTCAGACACCAGACTCCAAACTTCCCCCCATAAATAGGCCAAAGGGTCGCCAACATCCGTGCCAGCGCCAGACCCTTGGCGCCAAACACCAACGAGTGGCTTGCAGTCGGTGAAAAACTTCAGCTGAGCTCTCATGTACCGAAAAGCCATGAGGAAACTTACTAACCCAGCCCTGGGCACAGTCTGAAACAGCGTGGGCAGCGGTCCGTGCATTCTAGCGACTTCCTTCCACTGAGGATCGAGCGAGTACAGACCCCATCCACATCTCCTGAGGCGACTATATCGCCCATGAACGCCCGAGCCATCTCCAAACACATGCACATCGAGCAGCACGCCGAGCGACCGAAGGGTCCACACCACTCGCTCCTCAAGGCACGGGCTCGGAAAAAGCCAGGATGGGTCAGGGACCAGGAACCTGGTCCATATAAGCGAGAAGTCAGCTGTCGACTTAGCCAACTCCAGCATCTGACTGGCCATCGCATAGCCACCCTTAAACTCACGACGGTACTCAGCATGCACAGGGCAATCATAAAAGCGGTGCCATGTGGAGCCGACACTCTTACACGCAAGGCACTCTGGATTGACCGCCCCACCAGCTTCATAGAGCCTCTCTTGAGACCTGAAGCCACCCGCAAAAAGGCACCTGAGGAGCCCTTGGTGCCTAGGGGTCCAATCGGGGACTTTGGGCGAAGAGGGGAGGAGGAGGGACCTCAGAGGCTCAAGGAGAGGAGGATGAGGACACAGTGAGGCCCAAGACGAATGCCTCGCCAAGACCTGCTGCCACACCCAGCGCTCTGTAGCTTCATCTGCCAACCTACCCCCATCTCGCGGCGACAAGGAATAGGGGGAGGAGGAGGAGGAGGAGGAGGAGGAGGAGGAGGAGGAGGAGGAGGAGGTGCAGGAGGAGGATGAATGGGGAGGAAAGTGAGGGAGGATGAGGAGGCCGAGGAGCAAGATGACGAGGAGGAGGAGGACAAGGAGGAGGAGAAGGAGGAGGAGGAGCACTAGCAGGAACTGGGGGGAAGGCTAGTACGAGAATGTGTATGAGGAGGAGGAGGAGAAGGAGGCGGACCAGGAGAAGGAGGATATGGAGGATGAGGAGCATGATAACAAGGAGGAGGAACAGGAGGAGACGGACGAGAAGAAGGATGAGACGAGGGTGCAGGAAATATATGTGGAGGGAAAAGGAGGACGAGGAAGAGGACGAGAAAGCGGAACGAGGAGGAGGAGGAGGAGGAGGAGCAGAAGCGGAGGAGGATGGGGAGGAGGAGGAGGAGGAGGAGGAGGAAGAGGAGGAGACGGTTGATGGAGAAGGAAGAGGTGGAGGGAGGAGCGGAAGGAGGAGGAAGAGGAACATGAGGATGATGAGCAGGGGGGCATGAGGAAGCGGAGGGTGAGGAGGAGGAGGAGGAGGAGGAGGGAGGAGAGAGGAGGAGGAGGAGGAGGAGGAGGACGAGGACGAGGAGGAGGAGGAGGAGGAGGACGGGACAATAACGATGAGGCGGAGGACGAGGGACGAGGATGGGGAGGAGGAGGACAACAAACAACGATGGAGGGAGGAGGAGGAGAGGGAGAGGGAGGAAGAGGAGGACGAGGAACAGGAGGAGGATAACGAGCAGGAGAGGGGGAGTGGGGAGGAAGCTGAAGGGGAAAGAGGAGGAGGAGGAGGAGGAGGAGGAGGAGGAGGAGGAGGAGGAGAGGAGGAGGAGGAGGAGCAAGAACGGAGATGGAGAGGAGAAGAGGAGGGGAGGATGGAGGAGGAGGAGGAAGAGGAGGAGGAGGAGGAGGAGGAGGAGGAGGAGAGGAGGAGGAGGTGGAGGAGGAGGAGGGGGAGGAGGGGCGGAGGGGGAGGAGGAGGAGGAGGGGGAGGGAGGAGGAGGAGAACGAGGCGGATGAGGAGGAGGATGAGCACTAGGAGGACGAGGCTTGTAGGCGAAGGTGTACGAGGAAGAGGATGCGGAGGATGAGGAGGATGAGGAGGAGGAGGAGGAGGAGGAGGAGGAGGAGGAGGAGGACGAGGAGGCGAAGGAGAACGAGAACAAGGAGGAAGAAGAGGATGAGGATGAGGATGAGGATGAGGATGAGGATGAGGATGACGAGGAGGAGGAGGAGGAGAAGGCCCTTCCCTGGCCTACGGGTCAAAACAAGCAGGCCTCCAATGGCCGTTGGGGGCGAGGCGAAGCGGGCAACACCAGAACGCCCTCGGCGAGGGGCAGCTGCTGAAACACAGCCCGAACGGATGAAAGCGTCAGGGAAAAACGCGCAGGCTAGCTGAAAACAGCCCTCTCTAGGGCTGCGGCGAGGGAAGGGGGAGGAGTGAGAAGGGGGAGAGAAGAGAATGGATGAAGGGCGAGGGAAGGGGGAGTGAGGAGTGAGGAGGGAGGAAGGGGAGGGGGAGGGTTCCAGGGATTCCGACATCACGCGATGCTGCGAATATTGTCACCCCCTGAACTCGATGAGCACCGCGGCTACGGGGGACAGGAGGCCCACCCGTGGAGCCAGCCAAGAAGCTTGTGGAACACGAGAAAAACGTGATACCTACTCATGAATCCTTCACCCATTAAGATGTTCACGCCTTCCTAGCCAAGCCCTTTGAGCGGATCAGGCAACGCGCAGATTGGCGCGCCGCGCGCGCACGCACCTTGGCGCGCCGCGCGTTCTGACAATTCCGAAGCGGCGGGCGCACTGCCGCCAGATAGCGACACGCCCCTCGGCGTGCCGCCCCGATTGGTCACCCGAGGGGCGACACTCCCCTCGGGCGACCGCCCCCGCGCACGCCAGAGCGGGAACCCCTGGCCGTGGGAAGGACGGGTGTGGATCCGCCATGGGCCCCCGGCAGGGGACCCCCCACCAGCCCAAAAGCACGCGGTGGGGGTGGGAAAGCGTGGCGACGAGGCGCGATTTTCTCTCTCCCCCTGGCCCCATACTGGCAAACAGGGGTGCCGACCGGGCTGCACCCCGCCTGTTTTCCTGGGGAGCGCACCCATTGGCGCAGGTCCTGGAGGGAAGGGAAGGAAGGGGAGGTGGAGGAGGAGGGACGAGGGAGGAGGAGCAGGAAGAGCAACAGCAGAGGAGGACGAGGAGGAGGAGGAAAACATCGAGGAGGACGAGGAGGAGGAGGAGGAGGAGGAGGAGAAGGAGGAGGAGGAAAAGGACGAGGAGGAGGAGGAGGAAGAAGAAGAAAAGGACGAGATGGAGGAGGAGGGAGGAGAGGAGGAGGAGGAGGAGGAGGGAGGAGGAGGAGGAGGAGGAGAGGGAGGGAGGGAGGGAGGGAGGGAGGAAGGGAGGGAGGGAGGAGAGGGCACGGTGGTCGACGTCGGGCCGACCTTCGCGTGACTCAGCTGAGTGGGGTGCCACGATGTGTGGAAAACACCCTCAAGCTAGGCAAGAGGTAAGAGGGAGGGAGGAGGCAGAGGGAGGGACGAGGGAGGAAATGGAGGAGGCAGCAAAAGAAGGAGGACGAGGGAGGACTGCCGGCGCGCTCGCGCGCGAGCAGCCCCGCCCTGGCAGCGGCCCGCCCTCCCCGCCGCGCGCGCGCCTCGGCGCTGGCGCCCCCGCGCCCGGCGGCGGCTCCTGCGCGCCCGGGGGCGGCTGCCGCCGCCGAGCGCCGACGACGCCGCGACGGACGACGCCGACGCCGACGCCACCGACGCCGACAACGACGGCGACGACGACGACGCCGACGACGACGACGACTTCGACGCCGACGCCGACGCCGACACCAACGCCGACGCAGACGACAACGACGACGACGCCGACGGCGACGACGACGCCGACGCCGACGCCGAAGCAGACGACGCCGACCAGGGCGGGCAACAACGACAACAACGACGGCGGCGACAACCCTGAGATCTGGGCGAGTTGTTTCACGCCAGGCGTTTGCGCCTCGTTTCAGGCCTCGGGAGCATCACAGATCGATCTGGCTCGAAAAATGCCACTGAAATATGGGGTCTAGGGTTCCCGACGTGTTTTTTGCGATGTTGCGTGTTTTCGCAACGTCGGATCCGACAGACCATGACGACACCGACGATCGTGTTATGAGACGTGACCCTCTGTCGAGGGAGATGCTCCCTGCCCTCCTCCCCGAGCCCTTGCTCACACCAAGCTCCTCTTCGCGCTTCACCTCGGTTCGGGCAATCATTATCACCGTCAGCTCCGAACCACCCCTATTCGAGTCGACATTCCTGCAGACCTGCCCTCTGAGTTCTTGACCGCGTCGAGACAAGATGACCGCCGAAAGGAACGCCATGCGTGAAAGCACAGCGTTTGGACGATGTCGTCGCGGTCCCCTCGGAAGGGCCAGTTCCTAGGGCAAACCGCTTCCCAGCAACTTGCACGAATAAGTAGCCTCAAATGCCCAAGAAACCACATAGAACGAGGCATAATGTCAGACGGACGTCGGCGATCGCAATTGTTCCCTACAAGACTCGTCAAACAATTACAGCCGGAGTGCAGTATCCCCAAACAGGGTTTTTAGACCCACTGCGGTTTCCATGGTCGATTGCGTGCCCGTCCAGAGCGGGCTGGCATGGCATGTTAAAACATGCCACCTCCTCCTCCTCCTCCTCCTCCTCCTCCACCTCCTCTTCATCCCGAACGGCATCTCGGAGCCCAGAGTTGCGAGGATGCCTCCAGCGTAACGGGCTGGACCACCTCGCGCGCGACATTTCGGACCCCAGAGTTGCGACGATGTCTCGGGCGAAACGTGCTGCGAGGAAGTCTCAGGCGAAACGGGCCGGACCACCTCGAGCGCGGCGTCTCAGAGCTCCGAGTTGCGGGAGCCTCCTGGGGCCTCGTGGGACCTCCTGGTGACCTCCTGGGGCTTCCTCCTGGGACTCCTGTGGCCTCCTGGACCCCGCCTTGGGCTTCCTGAAGCCTCTTGGGGCTCCCAGGCGGGGATATCTAACATGTGGCCGTCGGGCCCCCCCAAATGGGGGACCACAAGAGCAGGATAAATCAAGGAATCGACACCGGATTTGTATTAACTTGACACGTTCTGATAGGGGGCCTCCTGGGGCCTCCTGGGAGCCTCCTGGGAATCTCCTGCGGACCCCTGGGGCCTGTCCTGGGCGTCCTGCGGCCTCCTGAAGCTCTGGGGCCTCCTGGGGCTCCAAGGGTCCCAGGGGGGATATGTAACATGTGATCTTCTGGGCTGCAGGCTGGACCACCTCTTGCGCAGCATCTGAGAGCTCAGATTTGCGAGAATGTCTTGTGCGAAACGGGCCGGACCACCTTGCGCACGGCATCTCAAAGCTCAGAGTTGCGAGGATGTCTCAGGCGAGATGGGCCGGACCACCTCGCGCAGGGCATCACGGAGCCCAGAGGCATCACGGAGCCCAGTGTTGCGAGGATGATCCTAGCGTAAACGTGGATGGACCACATCTGGCGCGCTGCAGGTCGGGACCCAGAGTTGGAGGACTCCGCAGAGTCCCTGGACTTCGAGGAAGTTATCAAGGGCGAATCGGGCTGACCACCTCGAGCGCGGCGTCTCAGAGCTCCGAGTTGCGGGGGCCTCCTGGGGCCTCCTGGGACCTCCTGGTGACCTCCTGGGGCTTCCTCCTGGGCCTCCAGTGGCCTCCTGGACCCCACCTGGGGCTTCCTGAAGCCTCTTGGGGCTCCCAGGGGGGGATATCTAACATGTGGCCGTCGGGGCCCCCCAAAATAGGGGGGCGGAGGGCACAAGAGCAGGAAAAATCAACGAATCGGCACCGGATGTGTATTAACTTGACACGTTCTGATAGGGGGCCTCCTGGGGCCTCCTGGGAGCCTCCTGGGAATCTCCTGCGGACCCCTGGGGCCTGTCCTGGGCGTCCTGCGGCTTCCTGAAGCTCTCTGGGGCCTCCTGGGGCTCCCAGGGTCCCAGGGGGGATATGTAACATGTGGTCTTCTGGGCCCCCAGGCTGGACCACCTCTTGCGCAGCATCTGAGAGCTCAGAGGTGCGAGAATGTCTTGTGCAGAAGGGCAGGACTACGCGGACGACAGGGATTCATCGGTGAAGTGAGGCGGCAGTGGTGGGAGAAAGAGGTACCGGGACGGTGGTTATAGAGCAGCACGCGGGCTGGCGAGGACACCATGTGGGGCGGTAGTTGGGAGCTGGGGTGGGGTGTGGAGGCGAGGGGGGGTCGGTGTTGTTTTTTTTTTGTTTCTGTGTGCGGGGGGGCCGTGAGGGGGTGTGGATGGCCAGTTTTATTCCCTTTTTAGTTTTTTTGTTTTTTTTTTTTTTTTTTTATTTTATTTTCTTTTTTGGCGAAACGTGCTGCGAGGAAGTCTCAGGCGAAACGGGCCCGACCATCTCGAGCGCGACGTCTCAGAGCTCCGAGTTGCGTGGGCCTCCTGGTGCCTCCTGGTGCCTCCTGGGGACCTCCTGGGGCTTCCTCCTGGGCCTCCTGTGGCCTCCTGGACCCCGCCTGGGGCTTCCTGAAGCCTCTTGGGGCTCCCAGGCGGGGATATCTAACATGTGGCCGTCGGGGCCCCCCAAAATGGAGGGAGGGGGGGGCCACAAGAGCAGAACAAAAATCAACGAATCGACACCGGATTTGTATTAACTTGACACGTTCTGATAGGGGGCCTCCTGGGGCCTCCTGGGAGCCTCCTGGGAATCTCCTGGGGACCCCTGGGGCCTGTCCTGGGCGTCCTGCGGCTTCCTGAAGCTCTCTGGGGCCTCCTGGGGCTCCCAGGGTCCCAGGGGGATATGTAGCATGTGGTCGTCTGGGCCCCCAGGCTGGACCACCTCTTGCGCGGCATCTGGGAGCTCAGAAGTGCGAGAATGTCTTGTGCGAAACAGGCCGGACCAACTTGCGCACGGCATCTCAGAGCTCAGAACTGCAAGGATGTCTCAGGCGAGACGGGCCGGTGTCTCGGGCGTCGGCGTAATGCCAGACGGACGTCGGCGATCGCAATTGTTCCCTACAAGACTCGTTAAACAATTATAGCCGGAGTGCAGTATCCCCAAACAGGGTTTTTAGACCCACTGCGGTTTCCATGGTCGATTGCGTGCCCGTCCAGTGCGGGCTGGCATGGCATGTTAAAACATGCCTCCTGCTCCTCCTCCTCCTCCTCCTCCACCTCCTCTTCATCCCGAACGGCATCTCGGAGCCCAGAGTTGCGAGGATGCCTCCAGCGTAACGGGCTGGACCACCTCGCGCGCGACATTTCGGACCCCAGAGTTGCGACGATGTCTCGGGCAAAACGTGCTGCGAGGAAGTCTCAGGCGAAACGGGCCGGACCACCTCGAGCGCGGCGTCTCAGAGCTCCGAATTGCGGGGGCCTCCTGGTGCCTCCTGGGGCCTCCTGGGACCTGCTGGGGCTTCCTCCTGGGCCTCCTGTGGCCTCCTGAACTCCACCTGGGGTTTCCTCAAGCCTCTTGGGGCTCCCAGGGGGGATATCTAACCTGTGGCCGCTTGGGCCCTTCAAAATAGGGGGGGGGGCCACGAGAGCAGGAAAAATCAACGAATCGACACCGGATGTGTATTAACTTGACACGTTCTGATAGGGGGCCTCCTGGGAGCCTCCTGGGAGCCTCCTGGGAATCTCCTGCGGACCCCTGGGGCCTGTCCTGCGGTCTCCTGGAGCTCTCTGGGGCCTCCTGGGGCTCCCAGGGTCCCAGGGGGGATATGTAACATCTGGTCTTCTAGGCCCCCAGGCTGGACCACCTCTTGCGCGGCATCTGGGAGCTCAGAGTTGCGAGAATGTCTTGTGCGAAACAGGCCAGACCACCTTGCGCACGGCATCTTAGAGCTCAGGGTTGCGAGAATGTCTTGTGCGAAACGGGCCGGACCACCTCGCGCAGGGCATCTCAGAGCTCAGAAGTTTGAGGATGTCTCAGGCGGGCTCCCAGGGTCCCAAGGAGGATATGTAACATCTGGTCTTCTGGGCCCCCAGGCTGGACCACCTCTTGCGCGGCATCTGGGAGCTCAGAGTTGTGAGAATGTCTTGTGCGAAACAGGCCAGACCACCTTGCGCACGGCATCTCAGAGCTCAGAATTGCGAGGATGTCCCAGGCGAGACGGGCCGGACCACCTCGCGCAAGGCATCTCAGAGCTCAGAAGTTCGAGGATGTCTCAGGCGAAACGGGCCAGACCACCTCTCGCACGGCATCTCCGAGGTTAGAGTTTCGAGGGTGTCTCAGGCGAAACCGGACCACCTCGCGCAAGGCATCTCAGAGCTCAGAAGTTCGAGGATGTCTCAGGCGAAACGGGCCCGACCACCTCTCGCACGGCACCTCGGGGCTGAGTTTCGAGGATGTCTCAAGCGAAACGGCCCGGACCACCTCTCGCGCGGCGTCCCAGAGCGCAACTTTTCAAGGATGTCTCAGGCGAAACGGCCAATCCCGGCCAACTCAGAAACGAGAGTGTGAGGATGTCTCAGGCGAAACGGCCCGGACCATCAAATTTTTGTGAGGATGTCTCTGCTCCGACTTCCCTCGGCCGGAGTTAGCTTCTATCACAACAGCACCCCGTTCAGCAAGCTGGTTGGGGAAAAACTTGCGTTTTTTGTTTCCCAACGGGCAGGTGGGGGTCGTTAGATTCAAAGAACAGACCTCCCGGCCACTCCCACCCAGCATACCGCGGCTGCCAGATCCCAAATTGTCCCGAATGTCCCGGTTATCCCGCCTCGCGCGTTCGACGAACACGACAGAACACACCCTGCATACCGCGGCCGCCAGACCCCAACTTGTCCCGAGAGTTCCGGCTATCCCTCCTCGCGCGCTCGACAAACACGACAGGACACACGCTGCATACCGCGGCCGCCAGACCCCAAGTTGTCTGGAATGTCCCAGTTATCCCGCCTCGCGCGTTCGACGAACACGACAGAACACACCCTGCATACCGCGGCCGCCAGACCCCAACTTGTCCCGAGAGTTCCGGCTATCCCTCCTCGCGCGCTCGACAAACACGACAGGACACACCCTGCATACCGCGGCCGCCAGACCCCAAGTTGTCTCGAATGTCCCGGTTATCCCGCCTCGCGCCCTCGACGAACACGACAGAACACACCCTGCATACCGCGGCCGCCAGACCCCAACTTGTCCCGAGTGCCCCGGTTATCCCGCCTCGCGCTTTCGACAAACACGACAGGACACATCCTGCACACCGCGGCCGCCAGACCCCAAGTTGTCCCGAGAGTCCTGGTTATCCCTCCTCGCGCCCTCGACAAACACGACAAAACACACCCTGCATACCGCGGCCGCCAGACCCAGTTTTCCCGAGAGTCCCGGTTATCCCTCCTCGCGCTCTCGACGAACACGACAGAACACAAGATGAAACAACAGAACATGACAGAACAGAGCAAGAGCGTGACAGAACATGGCAGAACACAACATTTCAACATCATAACAATATAGAGGACACCAGCATATCACAGAATATACCATGAGAATAACATGACATAACAGGCAACGACATAACACAACATAAGATAGCACAACATACGATACCATAACCGAGCATAACATAAGACACATTGGCATAACACATCATATCATGACACAGCGTCACCAAGCACAAATCATACGACAGCAACAGAGCATAGCGGCGAACTTGTCAGAACACAACATGTCACACCATAAGGTAGCATAACATAACACGAGCACGCCATAACATGACAGAGTATAACATAGCAACACCATGACACAAAATATTATGATATAGCATCACCTAACACATGATATCACAGCATGGTAGAACAGAAGGCGGCATAACACAACATAGCATAGCATAACCGAGGAAAACACAAGACACCGTGGCAGAACATCCCATATCATTGCACTTCATCGCATAACACATGGTAACACGACAGTATAGCATATCGCCACATACTAACATAGCAGGTCATAATATATTATACTGTGCCGAGCGGTCCACCAAACGCAACCTCACATCACATACCAAAGCATAGCATGACAGAACAGAGGACGACATAACACAACATATCATAATAGAACCGATCATAACATAATACACGATGGCAGGACACATCATATCATGACACAACATGACATAACATATCATAACACGGTACCAGAGCACTGCGAAACACACTAGCAGAACAAATCATAACATCATGTACTGAGCGGAGCCGTCAACTGCATAACGGAACAGAGAATACTATAACATAATATGTCAGCATATCATGCAATAACATGGTGCCACAACGCAGATCATGCCATAGCATCTCCAACCATATGGTGACATATATGAGCATAAGACAGCATATTCAACCAGACGAGAAACATAAAGGTGAACAGGGGCATCACAACAGACGACGCATCTAACGTCACAGGCGTCACGACGTCACGCCAGCCCGTCGACAACAGAAGAAGACATAATAGAGCATAATATGAAAGATCGTTACTACATGGAACGCGGTTGAACCGTTTTTGAATACAGAAACGGCAGTAATGCAGTAGAGGAGAGGAGTACCACGACAAAACAGGACATAGCAAACCATACTAACATATCAGATCATACTTTACTATATTGAGCCGAGCTGGCGACACCATCACGGAACATATCCTATTATAGCATAAGCTGGGATAACATAATGCTCTAACATGGTGGCAAAGGGCAGAGCATAAAATAACGAACCAAAGCATACTGAGGCAGAAGTGTGCATGACAAAGCATACTTTCACGAATGAGACAACGGAAGGGCAGAGGGACATCGTAATATTGTACACCGTACTTGCATTTTGGTCAGCGTCGCCACAGGAATCAAGAGTCACATCAATGAGCGATACAACGTCACGCCGACCCGCAGAACATCAGAGAACCCAGCGTCACATTCTACATCGGGGCACAATCCTACCACACACACACACACTTTAGCACAACATCGCGTATACAGTAACCACAACTCGACGGTCTCGCCCAAGCGTCACGACGTCACGCCGGCCCATCGAGAACACACATAGACATAATAGAGCATAACATCTTAGAGAATTACTCCATGGAGTACTGTCCAACGCTTTTGTATACAGCAGCGCTGGGCTCTGCGCGTATCCTTCCAGTAGGCGTGCGTACCGTTGGGACCGAACGCCAAAGATTTCGGTGGGGATCGCTCGAAGCAACATAATTTTCGGCGCTCGCGCGGTCGGCGCTACTTCAATGCTGGCACGAGGTGTTGGGCCCGCATGCAGAGGTGTCCGAAATCTGCCACGGCCCTCTCAGTAGTGGAGAACTCGTTGTCTGACAAGTGCCCGAACTATCGAGCGATTCGATTTTGAACGGCGTGTCGGCTTATTTTTGACGAGGCTTGTAGATCTTAGAACTCTCGACGACGACGCCGCCAGTGACGACAACGATGACGACGACGACGACGACGACGACGACGACGACGACGACGACGACGACGACGACGACGACGACGACGGGACGACGACGACGACGACGACGACGACGACGACGACGACGACGACGCGTGGCGGCTACGCCCCCCGCGGCTGGCCGGCGCCGGCGACGGGCCGAATCCCAACACCCACGCTCGCAGACGCTCGCGATAGGTGCCTGGGGTCCCAAGGTTAGGTCGGCCATGTCCTCTTACAAGCAAGTGTTGCAAAAAAAGAATAATCAACATTATCAAACATAGTCAAAAGAACACGGAAAATCGTCTCCATGCTCTTTTTATCACTCTCAATTTAAAGGGGGACATGCCGGGGGCATCATTCCGTCTTTAGAGGGACATGCCCGACTTAAGCCGAATCCCACCACCCACGCTCGCAGACGCTCACGATCGGTGCCCCGGGCCCCAGAGGGGAAGAGAATGGGAAGAGGGGCGCGGCGAGGGACGGGGGGCGGAGACGGGTGGTGAGGGAGGGGGGGGCGGAGGAGACAGCGGCACTCGGGGAGGCAGCGGGGGGCAGGGCGCAGGGAGCTGGGGGAGAAGCCAGGGCCATTAGAGGAGGTCACTGGAGAGGCGCGGGGGGTGGAGAAAAGAGGGCCGAACTCTCCCCCCCTCTCCTCCGTCCCCTCCAACCCTCCTCCTCCTCCTCCTCCTCCTCCTCTTCCTCCTCCTCCTCCTCCTCCTCCTCCCTTCCGCCACCATCATCATCACCACCACCATCATCGTCCTCGTCACCCTCGTGCTCCTCTTCCTCCAACCCCCTTCCTCCCCCAGTCTTCCTCTCCCCCAGTCTTCCTCTCCCCTCCTCCTCTCCTCTCTCGTCCTCCTCCTCGTTCTCCTCCTCCTCCTGCCCCCCTTCCGACCACAACGCGAAGCGGGAGGCGGCAAAGGGAACGCAAGCGGCAAGGCACCACGGCGCGGGGCCTTGCAGGGCGGCCCGCCGGTGCAGGATCTCGCCGACGAGCTGGAGGCTGTTGATGCCGGGCTCGCTGAAGGTCACGAGCACGCCTGCGGGAGAGAGAGAGAGAGGGGGAGCGGGAGAGACCCTGAGATCCGACGTTGCCCAAAAGAGTGCCGCGTCGCAAAAAAAAAAAGCACGCCCGGAGCCCCATACCCTGCTTCTCTGCGTCAATTTTCGAGCCCGACCGATCTGTGAGGGCCGCGGGGCCCGAAATTGAGCGGAAACGCCCTGTGTGAACAAACTGCTACGCCAGGATCCCATGGGGAGAGAGACAGAACATTGGTTCAGGACCCAGGCGTGCTCGCGTCGTGGAGAAGTCACGATGGGCGATGTTCGGCCAGCCATTTTCGGCCTCCTGGTGGCCTCTCGCCAGGCCCAAGGACTATCAGAAAGAAGCTCGGGATGAGAAGTCGGATGTGGGGAAAGGGTCGGGATTTCCGGGCGCCTTGTGTTCGCAAGAAGACTACTTACATGAACGCTGTGTACACAGGAACACGCTGCGAGATACGCAGCATGTCGGGCAACGCACATCGCACACCTGCACAACTCAGATCGCAAAGGGGACTCTGCATCTGTAACTGCGTAACTACGACAGACACGACAAGGAGCACATCGCGGGGGACACAAGTGGAGGAGGATGAGGAAGAGGGGGGAGGAGGACAAAGGATAGAGAAGGGAAGCGAAGACTTACTGGTGAGAGTAACAGCGCCATGCACTGCATCTGCTCTGTTCGCCCGAGCTGCCGCTGCGGGCGACACGCGCATGAGGAAGGAAGGGGTGGGCCACTGAGGACAGCGCCACGCGCTATGTGACGCTCCAGCGCCCTGCGCTCTGTGATGCAACAGCGCCGCGCGCTGAATGACGGTACAGCGCCGCGCGCCATGCAGGCGCGCGACCTTTCATACTCGACTGGTCGTCCCCCGCCGGAGCCGCGAGGAGTGATCTGCGCTGCCCTCACCTCCGCCATTCCTCCCAGGAGCTCACGAAAATGGCGAAATCTGCGCAGTGCGCAGCCCCCAGGGGAGCCGCGAGGTTTCAAAGTGATCCCCGCTGCCCTCACCTCCGCCGTGCCTCCCAGGAGCACACGAAAATGGCGAAAGCTAAGCGGTGCGCCACCCCCAATGGAGCCGCGAGGTCTCAAAAAGATCCCCGCTGCCCTCACCTCCGCCGTGCCTCCAGGGAGCCCACGAAAGTGGCGACAGCTGCGCAGTCCGCAGCCCCCGACGGAGCCACGAGGTCTCAAAGCGACCCCCGCTGCCCTCGCCTCCGCCGTGCCTCCAGGGAACCCACGAACGTGGCGACAGATGCGCAGTCCGCAGCCCCCGACGGAGCTGCGAGGTCTCAAAGCGAACCCTGCTGCCCTTGCCTCCGCCGTGCCCCCAGGAGCCCACGAACGTGGCGACATATGCGCAGTTCGCAGCCCCGCGTGGGGCGCAGAAGATGTTGTTCCCGGTGTTTCATCAACGGCCAAAGACCTTCTGGGGGGGTGGGGGGGCGCAATGCTCATCAGCGACGCGGGCGGGAGGCTGCCCACGTGCACCAACTTCCCCCTGAGCCCCGACGCCCCGAAGGGGTGCGTCAACATGGGGTGCCTGACACGCCCGCTACACGTGCGACGCACCACGCAGTACGCCCGTGGCAACACGCGCCAAAAACTTGTATCGCGCGTGTGACCGATGAGCACGCCAGCCACACGGAGCCAGGACCCCATGCCTAGGGGGACCCGCGAACAGACGACCAAAGCACGTGTGGCCTGAGTCCTTGGGCGGAGGGCACGACACAGCGGGTGGTGACGCGCCAAGAGAGTGAACGGAAAGAGACCAATCCAGTATCGGCCCGACTCGCCACAAGCTGGGCGCACGTGCCTGCGCGGCCATAAGTGTCTGTCAGTCCAGTGGGTAATGATGCCAGAGGATAAACACAAGCCTACGCGCCGAGAGGCGGGAAAGGACCAAGAGCAAGGATAAGACACGACAAGACGGAGAGGCAGGTGGAGGAAGAGGTAGGAGGCGATGGAGGACGATGGGGGAGGAGGACAGAGTAGGATGAGGAGGCGGACGCGCGAGCAGTGCAAAGCATCACATGGGAAATCCCACCAAAACTTTGGGCTAAAGTGATCCAAAGGGTTCTCCCTTTCCTCTTTAACGCGCCCTCTTCCCTTCGGGGGGAGTACCGTCCGCCTCCCCTCCATGGGTTTCTTCTGGGAGGGGCGCGATCAGTCAGAGCGCCCCAAATGGCCCAAGATGGCTCCAAGAGAGCCTCCGATGCTCCAAGGTGGCCTCCAAGATTGCTCAAGATAACCAGAGACGGTCAAGATAGTTTCCGACATACCTCCAAGAGGCACGACGGTGGCCACAAGACAAGAGGCCCCTCATACGGCCTCAAGAGCGCCCAAGAGCGCCTCAAGAGGCGATTTCGATGGCTCCAGGGGGTGAGGGGGTGAACATTTGGGACCCTCCCTTTTGATCGATGGTCTCCGAAGTGGCCCCAAGAGGCCATCCAGGGCTCCCAAGGGATCCTCAAGAGGGCTCCAAGAGGGCCCCAAGACCCCAAGAAAGAGCCCCATGAGGACCCCTGGTATTCCCCAAAAAGAATCCCGAGGTGGCTCCAAGGGGCAGTTTCTGAGGGCTCCGTCCTCGTCCTCGTTGTCCTCCTCCACCTCCTCTTCCTCCTCCTCCTCCTCCTCCTCCTCTCCTCTTCCTCTTCCTCTTCCTCTTCCTCTTCCTCTTCCTCTTCCTCTTCCTCTTCCTCTTCCTCTTCATCATCATCATCATCATCATCATCATCATCATCATCATCATCATCATCATCATCATCATCATCATCATCATCATCATCATCATCATCATCATCATCATCATCATCATCATCATCATCATCATCATCATCATCATCATCATCATCATCATCATCATCATCATCGTCATCATCATCATCATCGTCATCGTCATCGTCATCATCATCATCACCATCATCATCATCATCACCATCATCATCATCCTTTTCCTCGCCAGCCTTGCCCTCATCGTTTTTCTGTGTTTTTGTCCTGCTCTTCCTCGTCGTCGCTGTCGTCGTCGTCGTCTTCCTCCTCCTCCTCTTCCTCCTCCTCCTCCTCCTCCTCCTCCTCCTCCGACTCCTCCTCCGACTCCTACTTCTTCCTTCCTCATCCTTGCCACGGCCCCACGCGGGCCCCAAGGATGGCCCCAAAAAACCCTCCAAGGCCACCCCCTTGCTACCAGAGGTCTCTCTGTTCCCCTTGTTTGCCCGCTTTGTTCCACTACATGTGCTCATTCGTGCCTGATCCCGTCAACTCTCATGGGCATGGTTTTTGTATGTGCTGGTGGGGGTATTTTTTTTGACCCGCGGGCGCGCGAGACGGGTCGAACGCCGAGCCTGCTACGGCGGGCCGCGCTGGCAGCGAAGAGAAAAACAGTGAGCGACGGCGCGCTGGAGGCCGCGAAACCGACAAGGCAGAAAACGGCAGAAGAGCGTGCCGAACACGAAGGCCTTGCACACGAGCGTGGCGAACACAGTGTGCCCGAAGAGCGTGAAAGCAAACACGCAGTGAAGAATCTACTGATGTGACAAACTCCACAGTGCCAGCGGGAGGACCTGGTGGGGATACTTTCGTTAGCAACCGCAGGCGAGAGCGCCGGCGGCGAGTAAGGTCCAAGCGGGCCGCAAGAGAGCCATATTGCCTAGCGCCGGCGGGCCGACGGCGCAAGACGTACTTAAGCGGGCGGGCCGGCGGGAGGGGGGTGCGGGCTGCAGCTGCCAAGTACCAGGCACAATGCCAACAAGGAGCACTGGTGGGGATATTTTTCGGTCGCGGCCGCGCGACAACGGTCAGGCGGCGAGAAGCAACAATCGGGGCATGCGGAACGATGCGAATTTGCGAACACCGCCGCCACGTTGGCAAGTCGGTTCGCACCTGCACAACAAGTGCGCAGTTGCACATGCACAAAACAACATTAACTAAATTTACCAGCCAACGCACATAGGCGCCGCAGTGTGAACCGAAGTGGACAAGCGGCAGAGTGTGCGGATGCATCGGAGTGAGTCGCTGGTACGGCGCCAAACTCCAAGGCCACCGGCCCAGCTGGTTGGGTAACTTTGACCAGGGAAGCCGGGCAGAGCGCGGTGGAAAACACGAGGCAACGCGAGCGCGGAAGGCCGAACCACTCAGCGCTCAGTCCTCAAAATCCTCCGCCCAGCCGGGGGGGCCAGCGGCAACCAAAGCGCATCGAATCCGGCGCCTGCGGCGGATAGGCCCAAGGGTGGACGAGACGATGCGCGGAAGAAACCACAGGCTGAACAGTGGCTGCACCACTCAGAGCCAGGCCCTCTGGAGCAACAATTCCCAGTGCCGGTGGAAACCACCGACTGCCCAAGCGCCACTGTGCCGTCCTGCCGCGAAGAGGTCTGGCGGGATGTAGAACCGCCGATATTTGCTGAGGGTCGGCCCATGGGGTGGAAACTTCAGCGCTGCCTGCCAGAAGGGTCCTCCTGACGTGGCCACCACGGCCGCCGCGGGCGAGCCCCGAGGGCACGGGTGGGGGACACCCACCGGGCCGGAGGGAGCGGCGGGAGACGCGACGTCCCTCACCGCGGCCAGCTCGCAGCAGAGCCGGGGGGCGACTGGTGGGGATACGCAAAGCGCGAAGAACTGGCAAAGCTTCGGGCCGCGCACAGGCAACCCTCGCAGGCAGCCCATGGCTGGCCTCGGCAGGCCGGCACCCCCGAGCAGTGCCGGGGTCGGCCCGAACACCCTGGCGCGCCGCGCTCGGCAGCGCACTTCGTGATGGGCCTGTTTTCCACCACCACCACCATAAGTTGGAGGGGGAGGGGGGGTCCTCCTCCTCCTCCTCCTCCTCCTCCTCCTCCACCTCCTCCTCCTCCTCCACCTCCTCCTCCTCCTCCTCCTCCTCCACCTCCTTCTCCTCCTCCTCCTCCTCCTCCTCCTCGTCCTCCACCTCCTTCCCCCCTCCAAGTTATGGTGGTGGTGGTCGTAGTTGGAAACAGGCCCATCACTTCGAGGGCCCTAGGG